TCACTTTGGAGGGATTTGAAGATTTGTAGGATTCTTCACGGTATTTCATTTCAGTACTTTCCATTATTGCATGTGGAAGTAAATTATATCTACATTAAAAAGTGAACTAGAAGAGTACTTTTTTTGCTTGGGGCGATTGAAGTCGGAGCTGGTAGTTGCGTAGGCTAAGCTTGAAGACTCGCCATAAAGACTCGCCATACTATCAAGAGCATTTGGCGGAAATTGCTCAATTGTTTGCCGAAATTTTATTGTCACCCCTTTAGCTAATAGCGTAAATATGGAAATTTCTAAAATAATTGCTCAATTCAGTCGATGTTTGCCTCAACAACCTATCTTAAACCGTTTTTTGCTTAATCCCAAACCCAAATAAATGCGATCTTTTCCTGCTTTTTTACAACTGGCCACAAATTGTTCTTTGCGTCTGAAAGCTAAACATTACTGCTATTACTCCGATAGCCAAAGGCAAATTCCGTTTCTTGAGAATTTCTCCTTACCTTTCATACGACAATACAACCGCCACTGCAGGTGTTTTTCTTATGTTGTTTCTGGGGAAGGTAAACTCGGTCCTTCTCATCATTGAGTAGAAGTTTCTCGAGTGTATGCCTGCTGGTAACTTTTTTGTTCTTTTATATTTTCGCCGACGTTAGATTTATCGTTTACAAAAGATGCTCTGTGGTGTCAGTCTAATCAATAGTCCAACAGATAGAAGGATTCAGTTGTCGCACTGAACTTACCTCTTCCCTTATTGATATGATGATTGTATCTCGATAACAATATTCTAACGAGCAAATAACTTGCAAGAAAACGCACTCACGTTCACTAGATTCTTTACAAATTGTCACGTTCTCATATCTGGCGACTGGCAGTTTCTCAGTGGGTAAGATAATCAGTACTGTTCAACTCAAAGAAGTTCAAAGGGATAATCTACTTTTTTTGAAAAGAATTTGGACTAAGCTGATTCGCGTGAACCTAACACAAGGTGAGAGAAGGTCGGTTGCTTGTAACCGGCTCATTGCAACTTGAGGACCACTAAAAAATTGATGTTGCAATAACCATTTACCCCAAGAAACAGAAAAGCTGGTAAAGCACGTTTCATTAACGCTGATTTGGTCCAAGGAAAAGTAATAAGAAACAATTAAATTTAGATTATAACCAAGCACCTCAGAAAACAGCCCGCTAATACAAGTAAAACAGACCAAAATGGGTCTCTGAATGGACGCATATATTCAATATTTCATAGAGGTTTTTTTTTTTGCGATGGAAATTTTCGTTGACGTATTTTAGTGGATAATGAACATTATAATTAAAATAAAGATACCTGTTTCCCTATGATATGGCTGGAAGCAAAATGTAAAAAATGCTCAAGGTCATGGTTGCAAAAAAGTGAACTTGTCTAATTATACAAATGAAATTCATCAAACTCAAATTGAGTGAAAAATAAGCAGGGTCTTCTGAGATCAATTAAAGTACAAATGACAGAAGGAGATCAAGATAATTCAGTTCCTGAGAAACCTTATAGACTGAAAATTCACAAGCCTTTCATGTCAAATCTCGTATTTTGACAAAACACACACGCCGACGGCAAAGATTGCAGCTTACCGATCGCTTTAGAAAACTTTGTTTGAACTTGAGGAAAACTCCGAGAAATGAAAAGTTATTGAAAACATGTTTTGGCTAAAATTTTACTTTTCTCCGGCATAACCGACGTTTGCTTTTTAATACACTTTATTCTACAATGTGATTCAATAGCTTTGCGTTCTTTGTTATTCCAAGTGAAAATTAAGATAATCTCCTGAGATATCTTTTGAGGTACTTTGCGACGCAAGATTCCTTAGCATAAATGAATTGGCGATGAAAAACACAAAAAAGAGCGAGAGTCAAACTAGCCTGCACTGGCCTCAGTGCATTATTGCGCCCGCTAAACTGTCTTTTCTTGACTCAGTACTTTGGAGGTTCGGCGCTGACGATCATTTTTTTATAGTTAAAATCGATGGACTCCTTAGGACGATCCTGGAAGTTTTCTCGTGAATTCTTTAAGGTAAATGACATAACTGGAGATCGGGTTAGTATCCTGGTGCTTGGGGAAAGTAGCTTTAAATGGGATTAGGTTTAAAATCTAATGGCAACATCATGATAACAAAATCATTTGGGGTACAGTTACTACAGCACGGCTGCATTGCAGTGGAAAACATAGCTACACGAACATTGCATTTCTGAAGAATATAAATTACTGAAAATGCCGGAAGCCGGAGGCTAAAAGTTTTTAACGAAAGTGAATCACAACACGCTTGAAGAACCATTTGGGTAAATATTTTTCAACTGTTATATATAATTTCGTTTACAATGTCAGTCATCATAGATGTTTATTTTTCATCACTATTTTTTTAGGAGCGATATTCTTCAGTAGCAGCCTTAGTGGTGTTTTTTTACATGTCTTTTTCTCCAAATACATATGTAATCGATCATCGGACACAAACCGCATATACATCACTTCGTCGCCAGAAAGCTCGTGGCATTCAGAAACACTTTTGCCATAAGATGACGCTAAACTACCTCGATTCGTGAATCAGCGGGACCATTTTCAAGAAATCTCATTAAGTTGAGAAAACATATCAGACAACCAACTGAGGTGGCGGAATAAATTTTCATTAAGTATTGTCTTGTATCTAATAGACTTGTCTAATAGCGTGTTCCAATTTGAATAAATATTGAACGATTTTTTCGCAAATGAAGAGGAAACATCATCGACAGTGCAAGTTTTAGCAGTAAACATGGAATATTATTTGTTGGTTCTAAATCCACTTAATAATCAGGCATACTGTTATCAGCACATATTTTTAGCGGTCCACAAAGGGCATGTTCAAGCTTTGTTCATTGTGTTTTTTTTTTAAATAAAATGCAACTGTGAATTTTCACTCCTTTGTTGACAGTGGAAGGTCATTGGATGTTATTAGAAAAGATAAAGGAGGTTGTGATCCGTTGAATATCAGATAAGGCCTGAAGCAAAAGTTTTAGTCGGTGTAATTGAAAAAGCAACCTAGCTCTTCTTACTTCAGAGGGGAGGCCTTCATCTCTTGATGTTATCTAATGAAATTATCCCTTCAACGACGCGTTTATTTTTCAATTGGAGAAAATGAGTTTTCATCTTTAAAGACGACTTAGGAGTCAGGTGAATGATAAAAATCTCTCTTTCTACATTTCTAAATATTTTCAAGCGGCAAAACCGTCATCAAGGCCACAAAATAATGATTGTCCTTACCAAGCTTACTTATTTCGAAATAGAGGCAAGTGGTTTCAAATATTATACCTCTTAGGAAAAACACCGACATCAAAATAATATATCAATTCGGAGAAATGAAAATAACGAGTTTTGTGGTCCCAGCCAAATATATATCACAAGGGCATACGATCCATTATGCATCACATTGAAGACTGCCGAGTTTTCAAAGCTGAACAGAACCAGGGAAATGAGCAGTTACTTGAAGGACTTTCCAAGCAGCCGCGTGCAGGACATAACTTGTTTTTGGAGAAATTTTTAGTCTGATCATCGAAGAGTAATCGTTCCGTTTTCGTAAATGTAGTGTTGCCCTGAAATCATCCCGACAATCGTTACCTGATATTTCTCTTTAATAGTTACCATTGTAGCATTGTGCTACCATGATAACAACCCGGCGTAATGGTATCGTTTTACCAAAGTCAACGTCTTTCAATGATGCACTACAAGTAAAATTTAAATTAGATAAAACCTTAGAAAAAAAGTAAACAAAATCCAATGTTGTAAACAAACAAAAATTAGCATTTCATGAAACAAAAAAAGGTGAAGGTTGAAGATGGTGGATAATACCATGCTTTGCAATTAACTAGTTTGAATAAAGGGGTAAGTTTTTAGAGAAACTGTGGTGCTGCGTCGGTGGGAGAGTATAACAGGGTAATTTAGTGTTATCAACTGAGTTGAAAACGTAAATTGGCCACCGTAAAGAGTTTAAAGGCTGACGTTTCGAGCGTTAGCCCTTCGTCAGAGCGATTGACGAAGGGCTAACGCTCGAAACGTCAGCCTTTTTTAGTGTTATCAAATGAGTTAAAAGGTAAATTGGCCACCGTTAAGAGTTTAAAACGGTGGCCAATTTACCTTTTAACTCATTTGATAACACTAATTTACCCAATTAATTAGTTTGAGACACGAAAGCTGAAATTTAGGGAGGTAAAACCCATAATGTAACAACTTTGAATTAATCCTAATTTACCTTCTGCTAACAGTCTCGCCACGTGGCCTGTTTAGTTGTTTTGTTTTGTTTGTTTTCTTTGCAGGTGTGATCACTCAGTATGAACAGGACCATGAATAAAAGCTCTAACAGCTATGACTTCAATTCAACCCAGGGAACACCAACTATGAATGGCGCCATGCCCATGTCTGAGCAGGTCACGTGGTGTGTAGCACTCGCATTCGTGGCAATAGCTATCATCGTTGGCAATTGCCTGACCATCGCAGTCTTCACTAAAAGGAAACTTCTACGCATGCGTGCCAGCTACTTTCTTGTAACGTTAGCTATTGCAGACCTAATGGTTGGCACATTTGCAGTTCCACTTTATATTCATCAGTTAACATCCTACTGGAAAACAAATGTGAAAGGGACATATATTGCGTATAAGGCCATTGACATTTTCACAGCGTTTGCTTCAATCTTTGCTCTGACAGTAATCGCTCTGGAGCGACTGTATGCAGTGATGTGTCCTCTAAGACATCGTCTTACCTCCAAAAAAACCTACCACCAGCTCATAGCAGTCGTATGGATGTTGTCTTTGTTTGTAGCTGTGTTGTATTTTATGAACGGATTCGAAGTGTTCAAGTTCAGAATTTTCTTCTATTTTATTATTTTCTTCATATTCTCATCACTTTTGGTCATTTGTGTGGCATATGTGCTTGTATGGGCTAATGTTTCCTATCACAAGAGAGAGAAACCAAAGCGGGAGAGCAGATATAAGGAAGAACTTGACCAACTGAAGCGAAGTGCTCAAGAGAAACAACTCGTCACAACCCTTTTAATTATAACACTTGTTTTCGTTTTAACCTGGATACCTTTCTACATTCTTAACATCGTTGTTTTCTTAAGTGATACTTGGGAGTCATCTCACATTCCTTATGAAGTCTTCGCTTTCACAAAGCTGTTGCATTATAGTAACAGCTTTGCCAATCCAATCGTATACTCCATAAGAATACCAAAATTCACTAGAACTCTTCTTGGATCGCTGAAACGGAAAAGGACTGCGCTATTTGAATCCCTGCAATTAAGGTGATCAGTGATTTGTCGTGTAACTCTATGTAAAAAGAGTCTACAAGGCTCCCCAAAGTCTTAGGAAATTTGGGCCATTTAATACGTAATGGAAGCTTTACTGAATAGTATATGTAGGGGGGGGGGGTAGACCTCTCTGCTAAATGACAACCTTTCTGGTGGACAAGTTTAACTTTACATTTAACTGAGGCAAATCCAACAAACCTTAATTAACCAAATTCGGCAATTTGATTTACGAGGCCCGACTTACACCGGTCGATCAAAGGAGTGCCACTGCATATTCGAACTAAACCAGTCAAGAGCAAAGACTGATTTTCCTCCACAATAACAACAATTGCCAGGCTGAAGCAATTGTTATCTCATTCAGTTTTCAACATCGAAACATGACATCATCACAAAAAAATTCTTCAATTCATATGTACATATATAGAAGAAAAGTATTTGCAGAGAGCTGCTTAAAGAGGTTAGGAATAGACAAAGTAATTGTAAGAATAACAATTGGATATACATCATAATAAATTTAAGTCAAGGATAATGACCAAAAATTCAATCTTATTGGTTTAATAGTGCATTATTACCCTTAAATTGATAGTATCGAGAAGAATGTCATTTGGTCTTTCCAATTGCTTGCGGGACCTACCGCTAACAGGTCCTGATAAGGCTGATCGCGAGAAGGCAGGTCCTAATAAACCACTCTGAAGTCCCCCTGGAAAGTCCATAATGTGACAATAGGTAATATCAAATGAAAACCAAACGATCAGCGAGGAGCTCTGCGCCGATTCCCGGCGAGATTTTCACTCTGAATGTCAAGCTCAGTGAACGCGAAAATAAACCTTCCTTTAACTAGTTGCTCGAGTTGCTCGAACATGCCCATTTCCTGAAAATGATTGGCCGTAGACTTAAATCATCAGAGAAGAAGTGTGATGCAAATACAATATAGCTTTTTATCAAACATCAAAATAGTAAAGAAAATGAGATGAAAATTCGACTGTGCACATTCGAAGACACGTTTTGAAAGGCTCGTTGGAAACTGAAAACGCCCTCAGTGTTATTCATTTATAACAATGAGTTCCTTCCTCCTCATGCTGACAACTAAAGGGAACAGTTTAATCAAAATGTTCTCACAATTCAAGGCGAAAAACGCCTCACTAATGCATTCTAACATCCAAGTGGCCAGGAAAAAGGGTATACAACTCGCGTTTTTTAAATACATTTTGCCTATAGCACCTGCTCATTATTTTATGATTCTAGAAGCGCTAAAAAGTTGCATCAAGTAATTTTGACAATAAGATAAGTCAGAAGAGACCGTTTTAGTTCATTCTCGCCGAAAAAATTTGAACTCAGTATTGTAATGATTCGTATTTCAAAGAAAGAGATGTATCCTGCTAGACTTTCGTAACCACCATGCCGTCAGCTGTTAGTTTCGATGAGTGGACGGAGCTTTCCTGGCTGATATCACTTCCGGCTGCACCGTGTTCTGATTCGCCGTCATCATCAAGGTATGAGTCGATTTTAGAATTTGAATCCTAAAGAGTACAGAGAGAAGTTGTCAAAACTTCGCCTCGGGATTGGGACAAAGCGTCCCTCTGACATACTGCTAGAAGCAGCCGAATGGGTAGGAAATATCGCAAATTTTGAGCTTGCCTGAATAAGTTTAGATAGTATCAATTTTTCATGTGCATGCAACGAAGAGAAAACAGATGCCAGATATTCTGTTGGACGAAGAGAAAATGACGTTTCATTATTTTCTCAAGGTTGAACTCATTTTCGCATTAAATCTTTGCACCTTTAAGGCGCAGTTATCACTTAATATTACAACATTATCTTTTTTATAGGTCAAGATACTAATTTTTGAGGGCATTTGTAACCTGTGATAAATAGCAGTCAGGCTCATCATCCCAAATTCTGTCTTCCAATGAGCTGTAAGAAAAAAAAGTGTCTGTTAATCCTAGAGACTATGGAGGGTTGTGCTGTTAAATGCCCCTTTCTGCAAAACTTTAAGAAATTTTGCCAAACCGCCAAACCTAAAAGGTCCCCATTGGTTCATGGCAACTTCTACCATAGAGAATATTAATTTTTAAAGATTAACTGTGTGTTGGAATATATACCGAATGTGAAAAGAAAATGGTAAATTACAGGTGAGTAAACACCGTGCACCGGTAAACAAGAAACAACGTAATGGATAAAACAGTAAAATAAAGGTACAAACATTTGCTTGAAAATCCGATACCAACATTGTAGCATCTCTACTTCGGGACAACTCTACTCAAGGGACACAAAGTTAGATCCTAATCAGTGCATTACGCTCCAAGCCCTCAGCATTTTTCACTCTCGTCTAAAAAGACCTCCATTCAAGGGAGAGTTTTTCAAGCCTGGAGAGTATAACCTAAATGAGGGTCACATTGCGTTAGTAAATTTCATTGTCAACAACTTACCGTCCTTTCTTAGTGAGCACATAATCTGAGCCGCTGTACATTCCTGGGTCGCTTCCATACGGATGAGACATCCTGCAACAAAAAACAAGTTCGTAATGAAAAAGTTAACGAATTCACAAAGATAAGCAAGGCAAGAAACATATTATATGCACCACTCAGTTAGTGAATGATTTTGTCCGGTAAGGACTAAAATTCAATCAGATATCGGAGAAAAGTACGATTTTAAGCAGTGGGTAAACGTTAATACAGCTTTATTATACCTGACAGAAGCTACACTCTTGTCTTCAATAGTTCCAATGACGTCATCATAATACGACCAGGAGCCACTGGAAGAAGAAAAAATATAGAAATAATTTTTATAATGCAAAGTATACCTGAACATGAGAAGGCCATGGGATTTTCATGGTTTGCAAGCTTGATGAAATAGGAGGATAAGGAACGTTTACACATAAATAAAGATACCTTTGTGATTATCACAAGTCTTAGTCCACCAAATAAAATTAAAGAGAAATACTGATAATTTATAAAGGATGGTACTCTTTATTCACTTTTTTCTAAGAAGAACTGAAAAGGAAAGCTTCCAGTTAAGGTAGTGAAATAATTGTTCAGTTGTTTTCCTGTTTCAGCGTGATCACACATTCTTTAAACATAGTACCGATCGATGGCATGGTCGTATTGAAATATCAGGAGCTCCATTTAAAACACCTACTTGCGATTGGTGCTACCAAGCTTTCTTCGTGCTCTTGGCGAATTGTACATTTCACGTTTCTTTACTCTAAAAAAGAGACAACGTAGAGGATTATGATTCACTTTGAAAATTAAAATGGTTCTTAGGCTGGTATGCGTAAAAGAGTGAGCGTTGCTCCTCATGACGGAGACAATTAGGCATTAGAGAGTTGTTACAATCATACTAAAGGAAACCTTAATTTTGCGTTTTCTTTCGACACTCAGTTGAAAATTGTAAATGCATTGAATATAGTTACCTGCAACGTGTCTTTACGGCAAAACACAGACCCAGTAACAACAGCAGCCCAACTACAGATCCAAGGATGATAAGTGCTAGTTCAGCGTTACCCAGGCCACTGTCCTCTGTTGGACGTTGTGTGGTGGAAGCGATGGGAGCTCTGATTTTCCATCTGGCGTACAAGGTCTCCAACTGGTCAGTGTGCTTTTCAATGGTGCTGGAGTAGCAAAAACGTAATCACGTTTAACTATAGCCTATTTTTTTCGTTGTAAAAAGGAAATAGTTGTTCCTAATGTTTTGAGGTTTCTTTGGTAGTAAATGGATAAATAACAAGGAGGAACTTAAGAAAAACAGTAGGTAGCAGTTCAGCCTGGTGTAAATTGGCATAAACATTTGCAAGCTCTTTGAATTTCTACAAACTAAATTGAATTCGCAACCTTGCGATTACCTAAACATATTGTCTAACGTATGAAAAATTATTAAGAGAAAGCTAAGCATTAGTTGTCTCTCTTAAATTAAAAAAAAGGGGTTTTAGTAACCTATCTTTACATTACCATAATGGTGAAATATTTACCTGAGCACTTCATTGCTGGTCATGATGGTCTGAGTATTGAGGTCAACAGCGTGGAACAACACCTCAGAATTTGCGATCTGCTTACCCTCAGAGTTCTCCGAAAAAACTTTGAAAATCGCCTCTATATTCACCTCGGCCTCGGTTATGTTATTCAACACACTGAGGAAACAACACAAAAAAATTGATTATAATTAAATAAAATACAGGATTCATTATCTGTAAAAGACAGTCTATTGAACACAAGACGCAGTCCCCTTGATAAGAATAAGTAGGGCAGCCAATCTCAGTCTGAAATTTATTCAGTAGAAAAATATAGGTATGCTAGGTGATCAGGCTGAGAGGATGAAGATATTGAAATGAGTTTGCTGAGCCAATTAGGAAACGTTTTGAATCCCCTCGTTTCATGAACGGATTCACAGATCGGATCACATAAAAGACACTGTTGCTGTGGATAGGAACACAATTTAAATCTAATGAATCGAAGAGACAAAAGTGACGGAATAAAGACGAAAAGAATTCACAAAGAAGGAAAGAAATGTGGGATAGAGGAATTGATGGAATTGTCCATGGATGTGTTTATAGATAATATGATAATTTCTAAGGCCTCTTCCACTAACGTTCGAAACAAAGCCGTGAAAACTGGAAATTTAAAACTTACAGTAAGTTAGATACGTCAAAGTAGATGTGGGATGTGCAACTTGCGACATGCGAATACAAATACTTTATTGAGAATCATATTATAAAGCATTAAAAAGAGTAAAGAACTAATTTCAATCATGTAGTCTCTAACCTTATAAATTCCTCCTTATTTCTCTCGATAAGAGATGGGTCAACTTCAGCCTTGAGAGTTACGCGTTGCTCGTCAACAAGAACAAATATCTGTAAGACGTGTTATCGACCGTATAAATGATAGCTGCACGCATCAACAATTAATTCGATTATTTTACTTTCATATAAAATGTATATCTCATACCCAGCTGAATGTTTATGGAATAATTATGCTAACAACTCATGGACGAGTTCGATAACCCCATCAGCATTCTACTATCTTTTTCTTAGCTTGAGTTTAGCAACTAATTCGTTGTTCTTAATTTTGATCATTCTTTTTTACTTTTCAAAACCAATCAGCTTTCCATTAAACAACTTTAAATACAGACTTACATAGGTGGCATGTACAAGTGTTGATATGCTAACTATATGTTGGTGCGTGTGCATTCCTGAGTGTTTGCGTAGAAGTGCTAATTACATTGGTTGTAACCACCTCAAAATAAAGTACCTGAACCGTGGCCTCTCCATCAGCCTCGTTTGTAGGAGGTTTGCCGTAGTTGTCATGAGCACTGACTTTAATTTCAAAACGTTCGCCCTTCTTCCCTTTAAAGTTGCTGGCTGTTGTTATAAATCCAGTGTCTTCGTCTATTTTGAAAAAGCCGCCATCATTTCCAGAGGATATTCTGTACTGCACCGCACTAAAATTACCCGCGTCTCTATCTGTAGCCTGAAATAATTATGAGAAAATTTATCGAAAATTCAACTTTGTACATGCTCATAGCATCAGTGCGAGTCCCTTTATTACAAAGATACGAGGTTGTTCGCGGTTTTTTCCAGGTCAAAGAAGGTTTAAATTTTATCTCATTCATGCCAAAGTCGTAAATGTGTCTATATTCAAGAGCAGTAACTAATTCAAACACTTTCAGATGGTTTTAGAAAACTAAGATACCAGCTCAAAGATATTTTATTTTGCTGGCTGTTAGGATAAAATTTTATGTTCAACATATTCTTCTTCTCATACCTTGACTTTCATGATGTACGAGTCAAAACCTGCAGCTTCTGCAATACCTGAAAAAACAGATATTGCTATTCATTTTCCCGATGTTTACTTTCGTATTAAATCATCAGGGCAAAAGTGGATTACCAAGAAAAAAATAAACATAAAATAAAACGAAGGAAATCAAACGAGGATACGTACAAGAATAACTTGCCCTTAGCCATGATTACATGGCTTACGATTTAATCGACCCCTGTGGGGGTAGGGGTAGGGGTAGGGGTAGAGTATTCCTCACATAACAGAGTTATGTCCGCAGAGTATCATGATGATTTTATTCGGCCTGATTTGATGATCTTACCTCCAGTGAAGAGCGGTCTGATGAACCTAGGAGCGTTATCGTTGATATCAAGTATAGTTATGATGAGGGTTGAAATGTCATACAAATAACCTTCAGCTGAAACAAAAAGGAATATGAAAACGAGACCAAAAAACATGGGGGTTTTAACTATGTTTTTATGGGACCTTTATCACCTTTAATCACAGAGAAAATTCGATGAGTTGCTTTCATGTGAGATACGTTTGCAAGCTGAAAGTCCTTGTTTTGAGGAAAACATTTGATCCTGAAAACTTACAACAGGATCTACAATTTTCCTTATGTTTAATTCATGTAGTAACGAAAGAAACAAATATAGAGTACAATTCAAAACGACGATGCCTACCATCTACATTTCTCTGCCGCGGTCGACTGGTCTCATTGAAAGCCTTGGTTCTGTAATTATAGGCTCGAACCTCCAGCGTGTATGCAGAATGCCTTTCTCGATCCAGACCCTTGTTTACGAACACAGTACCACTGTTATCGATACGGAAGTCACCTAGACGATATTAAAAAAAAAAACACACAAAAATTTATAAATTCTGTGGTTCAATATTTCATTATTTCGTTGCAAGATTCTAACACTAAGGTGAGCAAGGAAACAAACCAATTGCTGGAAAGAGCTCGGCATTGACCAAAGATAGTGAAACCAGTAAATCTTTCTCCTATTACCATTTAAAAGGTTTGGCCACGAACATTATGTAAAAAATTCCTCGACATAGTGTTTTGAATTCTCTCAGTAATTGTTATGAAACGTTTATGGACAATTTTATTCGTCCACTTGTACAAACTTGAAGCTGCAAAACAAAACTTAAACCAATTTACTACTCCAGGATAGATAGTAACTCTAGCGACTTACTCTGATCATCTCCTCGTGTTATCTTGTAAGTCATTTCGGCATTTGGTCCCATATCTTGGTCTGTGGCTCTGACCTTGATAACTGACCAACCAATAGAAGCCGTCTCAGACACTGACGCACTTAATGAAGGAAAGAAGGAAAAGGAAGCAGCATGACGTACCGAGTGAGAGAAACATTTCATTGGTTCTGTAATTTAACAAGTGAATGGTTTCTTTGTTATGGCTGGCCTTTCCGATAAGTGAGCGAGAGCGAGGACGGTTTCATTTTACACAAAAGTACACGTAAGTAAATACCTGTAAAACTTTTTTTCAAACTTCGGCTGATTGTCATTCACGTCATCAACGATGACATAAACAGGAACAACAGACGAGAGGGGCTGGGGTGATCCAAGGTCCTTTGCCTCTACAATAATCATAAACCGTCTGTATTCTTCTTCGTCGATGTTGTTTTTTAACGTCATTATTCCGGAATCTTGATTCATGCCAAACACGTTTGCAGTGATCTCATCATACAGAATTTTGTATAGTACACGACTGTTAGTACCCTAGGACAGAAAGTTTTAAAAAGTAACGTTTACATCGTAACGAAGATTAAAACCTATCCATAGCAATGTTTAAATTTTAATTTGAGTAATGTTCAAGAAAAATTTTCAATCAAATGAAAGAGCTGCAATTATCTACCATTTAAATCAGAATTGAAAAGTACAAACGTCAAACGTACAAGTAAAGTAATTTAGTTCATTCTAATTTTCTAATGTTCTTAACCTTAAATCATCGATATGGAGTATATAGAATAACGTTCCCCCTTAGAAATGTTCTCGTCTTTGATCTTGATTTATAGCGTGTCGAAAAAGAAACCCAATAAATCAACACTGAATCTCTTTACAAACACGAACAACTCTTGGACGCTTCAGTTTCTCAAGGGAACAGGTGTATACTGTAAAGTTCCTTTGACAAAATGACTCCATTCAATGGGTAAATCCACTCAAGGGACATTAACTTTAATCTCGACAGAAAAAAAAAAAGCTACTAAATTGTGTCTTTTTCCTTCAGTTGAGTGACATCTCAATTGTAATTGTTTAGCCCCGAACGTGGTTTTGATGGTTCTTCAATAATAACCTTTCTATCTGGTACCTTAATGGAACAAACACCTGTATACAGGGGACACTTTTTCTAGTACCGATCGGGTCCCATTGATGTGTAACCTTGTAAACTGGTACCTTAATCGAAAGCATACTTCTGTACAGGGGGCAATTTTTCTAGCGCTTTGCAGGACGAAATTTAAAACCAGGTCTGACAATCATAATTCTACATCAAGCAGACCTCTTCCTTTTAACTAGAGGTATAGCTGCACTAACCAGATCTTTATCTTGAGCGGACACTTTCACAATGGATGTTCCTGCCTTGGCTCCCTCGGAGATCGTCTCGTTGTAGCTAGGGACACTAAAACGAGGCGCTTCGTCATTGGTGTCCAGGACATTGACTCTCACTATTGTCTCACTGCTCAAGGGTGGACTGGATGCGACATTGGTTGCAGCCACTGAAAGATCGTAGTGCCTAATCCTCTCGCGGTCCTATATGAAACACACCAATTGATATTTGGATAGAATTCCAAAAAACAACGTAAAAATTAATCGAAATTATATTTTATGACTAGTAAATGAAAATTTTTACCAATGGCTTGTTAGTAAAGATTCTTCCGGTAGCTCCATTTATTTCAAAACAGTTGTCAGTGTCTCCCCCTGGTGAAGGAATAAAGTAAATCAGGATGTAGGAAATACAGATTTCAGCCATAAATGGCATATTAGCGATAACAGCGCGAAGCACGATGGAGGTTTAGCTACGACCTGTCCAAAATTCTTTTTAATCCTTGAAAATTAACTGGTCATGTTATTAATAACAATAATGATAGTGATAATAATAAACTTCATAGATGACACGTTAGGTGATTCTAATGATGAAACACTAATTTGCATCATGAGCAACGAGTAATTATCTATCGCGAAGATACAGATAAATAGAGATGAGAAGGCGGCTGCGCATGCGTATTTAAACAGCACTCTTTTGTTTCTCGCGTGTTTAATGAAGGTAATATTTTTAAGTGCCCTCCTGAAACACTTAAGAAAAGGAAAGCTCGAGTGAGACGATGAAGTGCACCATGATGCAGTAACATTCCTCTGTAGCATATCGCACCCTGTCTGACAGTTACTGTTGATGCCTAGCAATTAAACTGAATGAACATGTAGATTGTAAGCAATTTATTGAACTAAAGCGTACCTAACTCTTCATAAACGACAATTTCCTCTCGAAAATGACAAGTACGAACTAAACTAGGATATGTAATATAAAAACCACTAACTGATTCGCACCAGTTATTGAATATGTTATTTCAGCATGTTTTCCGATGTCTTTGTCCTCAGCAAAAACCTTTCCTATCGTTGTATTCTCGGGTTCGTTTTCAGTTGCCGAGAAGGGTCCGAAAGTCTACAATAGGAAAAAAAAACCAACGTCTCCATAGAAAACTAAAGTACATCATTATTGAATTGCGAAATTAAGTTAACAAGAACAAAACAATAATAATTATCATAGTACTAACGATATCAATTACAGACCGATTAGAATTTAATTTAGTTTGAAAGAAACCTAATTATGAAACAATGCATAAATTATTATCGATTCTTGAGTGACCTACTTCTACTGGACGGTAAAAGATAATGTGCCACTCACGATCCTTCTATTTTTTATTACTTTTTCGTCTTAAAAGCAAACAAAATTATGGACACACAGGTTTCAAGATTCCGAACCCAAATATTGGGATTAGGGGAGAAAACAGACGTGTTTCCTCGCTTGACTATAAAACTATAAAGCCCGTGCACAGACTTAGGTGGCAATGGTGACGCCTTTTCACAAAGGTTTACGAAAGGCCTTCTACGAGCGACACTTCCTTATTGAGGCCACCCAAACTGCTTTTTCTGAATCTGAATTCTAGAGGGACATTCATCACAACTTGCAACACCACAAACTTATACAACAAAAGGTTAAAGGAAATAAAACCGAGGTGGAAGTAATCTAGGTAGACTAAACTTCTGTACAAAAGTCCCACACAACTGATCGGCTAGGAACAAGAAAAATGATTAGAAGTTAACTTACGGTAGTAAATAGCGGTGTGTTGTCATTCATATCAAGTATCTTCACCTCAACTGTACCGAAATCCATGTATGGAACCGTACCCTGGTCACGTGCCATGACGATGAGCTGAGGCAATGAATGCGATCGCTAAGTCTTAAAATCATCACAGTCTAACTGATTGATTGTATTCATTTACAAAAGAAAAATTTCGGTAAAACAACCAAAAAGAATACCTCAAATGTATTTCTTTCATTTCCGAAATATTTCCGATTGAAAAGGCCATTCCATTTGATTCCCCCCAAAATCCCGCTTTACGTGCATATGAAAGGCGCTCCTCGGTGTGGATGGCTTAGCCATTGACCCAGGCTTAAAATCCAAAAGCTTAAAAAGACATCACACCGGAAAGGCTTAACAACACCCAGACAAGCATCCTGGGATTAAAAAAGGTTACTTACTGAATACCAGTCCTTTTTCTCCCGGTCAAGCGCACCAGCGGTCGTTATAACTCCGGAAGTAGCGTTAATAACAAACTTCCCTTCTTCGCCATGCATGATGGCAAATTCCACTCTCCCATTCATCATAATGTCGTCATCAGTGGCATTGACATCATACACAAACGACCCAGTGTTAACATTCTAAATAAGCCCAAGAGAAATTTCACCGCAGTTAATGAACGAAATTTAATCAATGTGATAATACGTTTACTCGCAAAACTTAGCCAACAGTATTGACGTAAGACCCCTCACCGTCCATTCTTTATGATATACAATATGCTTCTTCTGTAACTTTTGGTGCTTATAACTTTACAAGTTATTTAATTACCTCGAAGACTGAGGCTTTGCTCTTCTTCGGTCTTATGACGGGTGAGTTGTCATTCACGTCAGTCAAAACAAATTCAACTTCGGATTGGTCGGTTTTCTTAGGTTCCCCACCATCCTCAGCGAGCACGCTAATTTTTAAGGAGTTGTTCGCCTCACGATCCAAGGGTTTTGCCACACTTATCTCTCCGGTAATTTCATGAATTGAAAAGAGTCCTTGAAATGAAAGTTAGAATCATTACTGGCTTGTCATTTTTAACCTTTAAGTTAATGAGTATTCATCACCGGGCTAAAACGTTTTGAGAGGCAATGATGTAATGGTAAGCGCGCTTCGTCTCCGACTCAGAATCCAAAGCCAGTCTCGGCTCAATTCTTAGCTATGTCATTGTTTTGCAGAAAAATGGTATGTGGAATCCAAATAATTTATCAGATTCTCTGCACTAGCTCTGAAGCTTAAAGCAATTAACTTGCATACTACAATATATATATGTGATAAGCAGTATCAAATTATGCGCTCATTTTGAAATAGAAACTTAAGTCTTCTCTCACAATGATAGGAGCAATTACCAGCTTCGTTTCCGGCTGTGATCATGTACCGCACGTTGCCATTTTTGCCTATGTCAGCATCATTTGCTCGCACGACTTGTACAACAGTGGCGACGGCTACGTTTTCTACCAACTTCCGCTCATACAAACGGCGAGTAAACTTCGGAAAATTGTCATTTACATCCAAGACTTGGACAAACACCTACGAAAATAACATATTCTGACGTTGGAACCCACCATTGACTTGAAAATCAAGGCCAGTGAGATTTAAATTTTCAGAGAAGATCATAATAATAACGTGTTTGTACGGATAAGAAAGCGATATAGGTGACCATTACCTCTGCTTCAGATGAAAGCCTATGGGCCCCATTATCAGTGGCCACAAGAGTTAACCGATAAAGGTCCTTTTTCTCTCGGTCCAGCGACTGAAGAAGCTTTAACTGTCCCGTTTCAGGAGAAATGAAAAATGTTCCCATGTCATCCTTGAGAGAATAGGTGATCTAGGATTTAAATAAAGAATAATAAGGGAATCGTAATGTGTCCACTCCGTGAGCTTGAAGATTATCGATTTTGACTGAAATGACATTTTCCAGGGTAAAGTCTCCCTTCCTGCCTGCATTGTTTGGATTCTTCCTAACCGCTAACTACATATTGACTGAAAGAGGTTTAAATGCGGTTGCACATGCTATCAATTTTTCCAAAGGGCGGTACCAAATATATAGTGCAACAACCGCGGTCTCTTGAGAGTTACCTCACGAGCTGTGATATTTAATATTGCGCTGGTGATACGTGGCTCTCGACGGACAAACAACTGACATACTGAGCTACAAATTGTAATAAGAGGTGATTCAATGATAGAATGATAATCTCTGAGATTCGTCGTCAATCATATCATCAAGTGTTTGGCGAATTGCGAAGGTCTCCGATTTGAATCCGCGGGGCCTACTCTCTCGATCTAACTTCAGCGTAAATTTTCAAGATTATGGGTCTTTCTTTTCTAAGAATCAGAGGTTTATAAACACTGGTTAACTAAGCTCCACGAAAGGAAGAATGACCAGTGCTCTGGAACTGCAAGCCGCACGTCACCTTTGCGTTTGCTCCAGTATCTTCATCGGTAGCAGTAATCTGATCAAAGTATGAATTTACTCTAGTATCCTCTGACACACGCAAAGTATAGGAATTTTGTGAAAATTGAGGCTGATTGTCATTGAAGTCCGTGACGGTAATGTTCAGGAGAACATAGGACGTGAACTGTGGCTGACCGTGGTCTCTGGCAGAAATATTCAGCAAGTAAAATTTGTCCCCCATAGGTTCGTAGTCAAGACGACCGGAGGGACGAACTATGCCTGATGATTCTATTAAAAAAATAAAAACTTAAATAAATAGTAGTAGCAACAACATTTGAGGCGTCCTCTGTCTCTTCAAGTTACTTTAAGCTAAAATTCTTAGATTATTTAAGAACAAATTAAAAAACTACTACAACAACAACAAAACAATCAAGCGACGCGGTTTACCATCAACTGTCAAAGTGTGCAACAGAAGAATATCAAATTTAAGCGCACAATTTGCCAAATTGCCTTATATTTCTGTCAAAAAGTCCTGCGGTTTCAAGGCCAACGGTCCTTCGAAGGCAACTTTTGTCGCATTTTTATCAGAATGCTGAAAGAGTGGCCTTGAAGATCTACAGAATAGAAAATTTATGCTCTAAGCGACGGCCGCGTGCAATTTTTCTAAAGGAAATTTTCAAAGAATTCAGTTGATGAAAACTCAAACTTCCCACCACTTTCACAAGAAATTAAGTTTTAATCTTACCTTCAATAATGAACTTGCCGCCCGCACCATCGACGATGTTGTAAGATACAGCAGCGTTGTTACCTTCGTCAGCGTCCAGAGCTGTGACTCTTATCACCTAACAAAACGGAAATAATTAGGTCAAAGTTACCTTGCACAACCTGAAATCACATGTTGTTAGTGCAGCTGTTCTTGATAACAAACCTGATATCCACCGAATGCGTTTTCAGGAACTAATGCAGTATATTCTGGTTGTGTGAATACTGGTGGATTATCGTTGGTATCTATCACTAGGACTTCAAGAGTTGTATTGCTTCTCATAGGAGGGCTGCCTTTGTCTTTGGCCTGAGAGGACAACAAAGCAAAAATCTATTACAACGCGTCATTTCTTGATGTCGTGCTTCTCGTTGCATAATTAAGCACACGGGAGGCAGATGAGAATGCAGCCGTTGCTCATTAATTTTTTTTTTTCATACATTTATATATTCATTTAATTATTCATTTGTCGGTCATAATTATACAGGCGTGTTCAATTTAGCTGAGGCTAGTAAAACTGAGGCCTTAAAGATTGACAGTAGTACTGAGGCTCTCTAAATTGTTCATCCGGTCTCGTTTCCACGCTAGAATCTTAACGTTAGAACCTTAAGCCTCCATAAGTTCTATTTAGCCCTTTCAAAGTTGCGAGCGTTCGACCATGCTTTCAAAGTCTTTCATAATCATCACCCTTCACTCTTACCTCCACAGTCAGTATATACTTTTCCTGCAATTCACGATCCAGGCTATATGAAGTACTAACATAACCAGTGTCTGGATCAATGATGAAAGGCAGAGTAACTAAAATTGAAAAAAAAATGTTCACTCAATAGACGTTATTTTAATCGATATCGTGATATTTTTGCATAATTGAATCAATTTGAATGAAATTGATTCCAAGGGATCCAAATAAACATTGGCACTGTATTGACCAAGAGGGTTTGACGACAGTGTTTTTAAGAGGCCAGGTTACCTTCGTCTTTCCCGGTGGACTCGCAGCCATAAAGTTCCAGTCTCATGCAAATCCTGACATTCCATGACTGAGGATGAACTCGCACGTAGCGCGCGTGAAATGGAGGAAGAACACGATTCGTGTTGGTACTATCACCATCTTTGTTGCCCTGAAAAACCTGCAGAGGAAACCATGATATCAGAAACGCTATGACCTTGAAAAACGTACTTGCACATGACGACTGTAAATCACTGTCTCAAGTTTTACAAGAAAACAAGTTGCATATGGTGTGAGGACGTTGTGGTAGCTGCTTTCTCTTTGAGTTTCTGTCTTACCTCTCTGTGAAATTCAAATGAGTTGCCATCCAAACTGAACGACAGTTTGTAAGTTTCAACGTAATCGTTGGATCCAGGCCTCCCCTGTGTGGCAACTTTTGTAACTTTTCGCATTCCTCGAAAGTCAATCTGCAGATATTGTTGCTTGTTATTCGTGGCTGCACACCAAGCCCCTGGAAAAAATTAGACAAACAAAGTGTAGCTACCTCACTCAATTATTGTTGTCGACGTTGTTTCTGTTTTTTTTTTCTTTTGCCTTTTTAATAGGTACGTGATACTAATACAGACTTTGAAGTAAACAAAGTTTACTTCTTATTATTAACATAGCCTCTCTGAGATTTTATTTTTATTTTTTCGGAACTAAACCCGAAAAGCCCTTGACTCATTCAACTCATCAAAGAGTTAAAAGATATCAACAATATCTAAAGTTTGTCAGTTGAGTGTGTATTCTTTGGCGCTCATTGATACTCAATTTGTTCCACATTCTTCTGTTTTTTTTCAATCACAAACGTGAAGAAATGCTACTGGTGAATAATCCTTATAAATAGTCTTATCACCTTTGTAAGATATCCCAAACTGGTTAAAAACTTTGTTATTAAGTCTCCCCAGTGTTGGTGAGTAATCCTCGTTAGGAAGAGTGTATGTACTCGTGGCTTGGGTGTCGCTGGCTTTGACTTCACCATTCTCCAGCCCCAAGGGAGTTTCGCAGTCTGAGTGAACCGAGATCATTGACTGCCCCGGGCCTGAAAATAATATGAAAGGACAATCACTCGCCGTAAAAAGGCACGTTCAGTACCACCCGAAGGTAAGTTATTAGTTTCTATCTGGTAAATGTCTGTCTTACCAATATTCGCATGGGTGATAGCGTACTCAAATACAGCGTTCTCCCCAACGTCACTATCAAGCGCTTCCACACGACAGACCCTTGTTCCGAGAGGGGCATCCTCCTTAACGGTCATTTTGTGAGGAGAAAGGAACTGGAAACGAGGAGCGTTGTCGTTTTCATCAGTCACATGGACGGTCACCTTAAAAGAGAAAGAAGCTTTAATACAAAGCTTACAGTAGGCCTAGACTTTGACATCTGGATCAAGATTTCTAGAGATCTAGTGTAATGCATAGCTTGATTCTCACGAAAATAGAGATATAGTACCACCTTTACACGGACGGCGACGAAAAAAAGCGAGGAAATTTATTTTATTCCCTTTTGAATGAGGTTTGATAACTTTGAATTATCTTCTCAAGCCATAACGATAGTCTAGAAGCTAGCTTATACCCTTTCTGTTACTAAACTAAGCCTGGACTCGAATGTAATGACTGGGAATATTCCGGTAGAGATAGCGGCTATCTAAGACTTAAAACACAAGTTATCTACCGTCTGTACGTCCCCTGATTGTTTTCTTACCGAAGTGTAGCCACTGAGCGGAGTGTGTCCGTTATCCATGGCTTGAACGGTGAACACAAAATCCGCTCGTACTTCTCTGTCTAAAATAACCAATGTTGAAATTTCACCCTGTAAGGAAGTTAGCAAATGCCATTTTTGTTAGATACAAAAATTTTCTCATACTTTCCATGTGTGTAAAGGATGGCTGATATCTCATTCTTCATTTGTATAGCGTAATAGAAAGAGTAGCCTTACCGTGCTTTGGTCAATCTGGAATTCGTCCTGTAAGGATACAATACTGTATGTAATGACCGCTCCTGGTCTGTGCTTTGAAACCATAATTTGCAAAATCGGGGTCCCCGGTGATTGGTTTTCCGTAACATTGACTACATAAGATGATCTACGATGCAAATAAAATAAAAACCATCAAGTGATATTCACATTCAAACGCAGACTCACAACTACTTTGTTGATTAATTTTGATTTTTTTTTTAATCATTAAGTGCGTCGGTCACTGAGATATGAAATCCATCGGTCAGTCAGTAACTGGATTATCTTTCGTTTATCAGTCCGTCAGTCTACTATTTTAGAAGTCTAGTAAAAAAAACTGCTGCCTCGCTTAAATGGAGGGCAGGTTCTTGAGGTATCCCGGGAGCTTTTACCGTCGGTAGTCAGCCAGCAGATGGAATAATACTCCCGAGGCAGGCAAATTTCCCAAAACCAGCCATGAGCCCCCCATTCCAGGTACCCATCAACACTGATTTGATCAAAAGGGAAGAAGGAAACGTGTGGGTGGAAATTGAAAACAACCTCTACAGGACTGCTGAAAAAGCGGCTTCCAGACTGCTCGTAAACTCGAAGACCTTGCATGTGAGCCTGCATTTAAAAGATTTACCGCTGAACAGAAACACCCCCTAAGCTCGTTGCGTTTAACTTTCTGAAACTTTAAAATTGAATGATGTCTGTCAATAGGTGCAGTCAGTCCAAAGTTTAGTCGATCGATTCTGAAGTCGGTAAGTCAATGGCTTACAATGACTTCACCTGTTAAACACAGGACTGTCATCGCCTGCATCGACTATGTTCATCTCTACAGTGATATTGGACGACCGAGAAACTATTCCGTGATCACGTGCTACCACCTTGAAAATAAAGGAGCCATTGACGTCGATCACATCACGTCGAAGAAGATCGATACGATTGATTGGATTGTGAACCCTGAAAGGAAAAATGAACCTGAAATGTAGCTGGACCGTCAGGGAAGCTGGATGAAAAATAACATGTAATCCAATTTGAATCACATAAGATAAGCCCGAATATCATTAGTAATTCAGATAGCAACTGTGATCAGTTGGCTGTAGTTTGAATGCCTTTGGACATCTCGGTACAGCTAAATTCTTTACGATACTTTTGGGAACTTTCTATGTGTCCCTAGAAATCTTTCGTTACTTTTGGGTATTAAAATATCATTTTCATTGCTTCAAGTGTACTCCATTTGACAATAGCGAGAAATGCATGATTAAATAAAATGACATGAGGTAAGATAAAATGAAAAAATTATCATTTAATCAATGACTGCTTTCAAGGCCAATTACTGATATTGTATGTGAACGTTTCCGGGAAAAATTTTTAAAAAATATGTCTTCAACTCACTTTATAAACCCGTCTTCTGAGTCGATACTAAACAAGTCGTCCTTCGCATCAACAATGGTATATACAATACGGGCATTTTGATGGACATCCTTATCTTCTGCAACAATTGATAACACTATGGTACCAACTGGTGTCTTGTCAATAACGTCGGTCTTGTACCTCTCGCTTAGGAAATACGGAGAATTATCATTTGTGTCTGATATCACCACATTCACAGCTACACTTGATTCCAGACCTCCACCATCTTGAACACGTACGATGAATGAATATGTGTCCATAGTTTCTCGGTCCAGTTCCTTTGTGGTTGTCACGCTCCCTGTTTTGGGATCAATCTTAAACATAGGGTGGTTCATGGAGTAAGAAATATCAGAGTTTATTCCGTAATCTGGATCGTTGGCAGTAAGATTTACAAGCAAACTACCGACTGGAGACTCTTCTGAGATTGTAACTTTGTAGACCAATTTATCAAATCTCGGTATATTGTCGTTCACGTCTGACAAAGTGACAAAGACAGTACCAAATCCTTCTAGCGGGTAATAACTGCCATCTAAAGCTGAAACATTTAAAACGTAGCCCTCTTTCATTTCTCGATCCAGATCGCCAATTACGCGAATAACCCCGTCGTCTCTTCCAATCTCAAATTTTCCATCTGCACCAGAAATCAATGAATAAGACACTTTTCCGTTAAGATTATGATCCGGATCTACAGCAAAAACCTTTGTCACTGAAAAACCAACTGGAGAATCCTCACTGATAGTTGCACTTTTCGTCTTGGGTTCAAATCTGGGAACGTTGTCGTTAGCGTCTATGACTTGTACCTTAACAGGCACGGATGACGCATGTCCAAAGCCTTTCTCATCTACAGCTACCACGTAAAAGGAGTAGTTTACAATCCTCTCATGGTCCAGTGTTGGTAGAGGAAATTTTCGCGTGGATATGATTCCTGTTATTGGATCAATGGCAAACTGATGTCTTTCGGAGCCATTAAGGTGATAGCGAATCTCTCCGTATTGACCTTCGTCGGGGTCTGTAGCCTTGATCTTTTGGTGCTGCGGAAAAATGCAAAATAATAAAGATGGATTTCAAAAATTGTAAGGAGTGTGGGACAAAACATCTGAATAACTTTTGTGATACGAGCCTAGTATTCTCTGATTTCACCTTCCGACTGCACAGGAGTAAATTCGTCTGTGAACATGACCAAATGCGTCTTATTGGAACCAATAAGGTAATAGCCAAGCAAATATATTTCTTTTTTAATTTTATTATGCAATGTACTTAAATTATTTACAATACAATGTGGACATTACTTACAAGCCACAGCTACATATAATACAAAATTAGCAATACCTATAATACTATAAATACTAACAAATACTAGCGATACCAACAAAACGTATTACTTAGCAATTACAGCTTTTACGATTACAGTTACATTGTGCAGACATGTAAATGCGTCGGTATTGAAAAAAATACTCCCTTTATCCATTGGAGGCTGATTATGGGAACCTATTACAACATGAAGTGTTTATACATGCTCCTCAACTTATCAGGAAAACAAAAAACGGAATTTGAGGCGTTTAATAGCTTCCCGGTTTATGACAATGTTCTTCATGGAATTTAAATAAGTGAATGAAGTATAATTCAATTCTATCAATAGCTTGAACGCCAAACAGCCTCTAATTTTTTGTCAAGCAAAACCATAGTATTGAAAAATTCCAAACTTACAAATCTATCCTATAGGAAAAAGGTTTGTCGTGTACATGAACTCATTCCGCTTCAAAAAGTTGTCACGAGGTTTATCTGTACTAACCATGTTCACCGACGTCCCAGCAATGGAGTTTTCCATTATGTCTCCTGTATACATGGCTTGAGAAAACTTTGGTGTGTTGTCGTTCCTGTCTTGTACAGTTACAAACACTGTAGCAAAGGCCTGCGAAGAAACACAGGATTGAATCAAACAACTTCAAGAACATATACATTGCCATCAAAATAAATTTATAAATGAAATATGTAGACTAACATCACCCTTTGCATGATGAGTACCACTGAAAATATTTTAATTCAACGAGGAGAAAAATTCCATCGCTCTATATAGCTGAGATGGTTATTGTAAGTAATAACGTCCCTTTGAGTAGATTTACAACCTGATTCGAATTTACTAATTGCTTAATGTTCGTGAACACGAAAGAACTTAATTAAAAAGCGAAAAAGGCAAAACAAGGAATAACGTTAAAATAAACACCAAATAATTTTGGCGGCAACACCCAAATTACTCTCGACACCTAGCTTAATAGTGCAGAATATCGTTACTTCAACATCACCTTTCTACTGAGTGGAACTCCTCCATCGGCTGCAGTCACAGTTAAAATGTAGTTATTCGTTTGCTCTCGATCAACATGACTTTTGACCTTAACCGTTCCGTAACTTTCCTACGAGAAAAGTGCAAGAACGAGAGCGTTTCGATAATCTAGGATAAAATGATTAAATCATCCTTATTTGATTTACCCTCGTATTTTTTAAGTATCTACTCACATAAAGTAAAAGATTTATCAGAAAAAAATAACCTCATTACCAAGGGTTACTAGTGAAAGTTTATTTATGTATATCCCACTTTCTTAGGCAGAAAATTAAGTCAATTCACACGACATGCCTTCAGCGTTTGTTGTTTGCTGATAAAAATAAAGGGGGTAAGTTTTCAAAAAAAAACTACGGTGCTGCGAAGGTGAGAGAGTATGGCAAGATAATTTTAGTTTTATCAACTGAGTTGATCGTGTAAATTGGCCACCGTTAAGAGTTTCAAAGCAGACGTTTCGAGCGTTAGCCCTTCGTCGGAGCGAATGGAGGAATTGTGGGTTGTGTATGTGTTTATATGGAGAAAAAGAAGCTACGCTATTGGTGAGGAAATAGTAAAGAGAAAAACAAGAATAAATGAGTTGGATGAAAAGCAAGTGTCGATAACGTGGGTATTAAGAGTGCCGATTTGAAAAAAAAAATAAGTTGCTCTAGAGTTGTTCTCAATTGATAAAACCAAATAATATTGTTTGTTAATTCGTTGCTCTTCCTTTGTTTGATAGTGTGTTGGTTTTTTTCACTCTTCTATACCAACCCATTTCTTTACTTCACCTTCTCTATCCATTTCTTTCAGAGACAGGGAAATTTGTGCAATTTCAATCTATCAATCCAACTTTAAAACTGATCGCTTTCCACCACACTTGTCAAATCTTTCATAGAAAAACTACATAGATTCCCCTCTAAAATTTTGCCTCTTGTCACCCAAACACACATCGCTATTGGTGTACCTGTGTATCAACAGCAAATACAGAAAAAGGATCCCCTTCTGTGACACTGTAGGTAATCCGAGCATTTTGACCACTGTCAGCATCCTTTGCTGTTACATTTATCAACGGCGTTCCCATGGGCGAATTTTCGTACACAGACACGGTATAGTTTACCGGATCAAACACCGGGTCGTTATCGTTAATATCACCAACTTCGATGTATACCTGTGTCTGAAATGAGTAAAATGCATAACGATCTGGAAATGAATGCTCCACACAGTACTGTTAAAACGTATTGATCTAAAGACTCCCGAGCACAAAAAGCAAACACAATAAATGCGTAAATTAAGAATTTTTTGACGGTTTTATAAAAAGAAAAAATTTAGAATTATGTATAAAGTATTTTGAAAAATTGGAGATGACTAAATCGAATAAAAATGCCCTTTGTATGTGGACCTTTGGTGGCAACACTGATTTATAGATGCGCCCTTTTCTAGCTTCAGTGCTACAAAAAATTAACTAGAGTGCCATGTAGAGTGAAGCAAGGGAACAGGTGTGTTAAAAAAAATTAGCGCGTTTACTTAGGAAATGACTGAAGACTGGTGAAATATGCTAGAAAATCTGTACCTACCTTTGCAATTCGTGCAGGTTTCCCTTGATCCGACACACCAATAGTTAGAGTGTATGAAAATGTCTGTTGACGCTCAAGATTCTTACGAGTTTTGATCATGGCTGTCTGAGGATCCAGCGAGAAATCGCCTTTTAAAAAAAGGAAGGGTTCAATTATGTTATGTGTGTGATAGTTTCATTAGTACATGTTTCTCCTTTTGAAGTTGGCAAAGACTTTCCGTTAGTTAATCGAAACGTCAGTCAAACGTCAGTCATGTGCACAAGTCCTTCGTACGATGTGATAGACAATAAATATTAGATAAGTTATAATCTTTATTTAAGCACGAAACAATTCATCAGCAATTACATTAACTAAAACTATTTAAAAATTAAAACACTAACTAATAACTAAAAGCTGTTTTCCGTGAATGCCGTGCGTTATAGAGTGGCATTGATCTTGCGTTTAAATAACCCCAGAGACTCTGTGTTCCTTATATCACATGGAAGACTATTCCATAATGTGGCTCCACTATAGCTAAAGCTTTTTCGATAATAGTTAGTGCGAGGTAGAGGAACATTGAGTTTATTTTCAGAGTCCCTGAGGTCATAAGCAGAGTTACGCCATCTAAACTTAGAATTAAGATATTCAGGAGCTAGCCCGTGCAGACATTTGAAAACCATGGTAACTCTATGAATTTCCTGCTGGCTTGTCAGATTTTTCCAACTTAAAAATTCAAGTAGCTTAGTTGCATCGGCATCATAGCTGGAAAATGTCAAAACACGGGCTGCTCTAATCTGTAATTTCTGCAGCTTATCTCGTAGCGTTATCCCACAGCTACCCCAGACAATGTCACAGTAATCAAAGTGAGGTTTTACTAAAGCTTGGTAAAGCAGATGTAAGGTCGATGCTAGGATCAGATAGGGTAAATACCAGGAAAATCGGAGTTAAAAAATGATTGAAGATCTGTATTGGTTCAAAGACCGAAGAATTCAATTTTTGGAACTCATCGCATGCATCAACAACTACAAATTAGAAATAGTACGAACATACCTCCTGTGTTACCGGATATCAACTCGTATACAAGTTTTCCATTATTTCCAGCATCCGGGTCAATAGCCACTGCAGCAATGACGTCACTATCAGCTTTGGCTCCTTCCGATATCTTAACATTGTATCCATTGGGTGGGAAAAACGGTGTGTTGTCGTTTATATCCTCAATGAGCACACGTACCTGAAGAGGAGAGTTTCTAGTATCGATAAGCAAGCAAACAATTCTTTGTAATAATTAATTGTCTATAAGATATACAAAATCAACCATAGTTGAGCTCTCAGAATATTTTTTATTTAAACTTCGATTGTAAACTTACAGTCTGTGGATTAAAAGGTTTTCGAAAGTGAAGTGTGACTGTTGGTTTAGCGCTATAAAGAACTGTTGTCGATGATAGTGAAGAAAACATAGTCACTCGAGTCAGATTTTCAAAACGCCTTTCTATATCGAAAAAAAAAATAATTTTATGTTTCATTATCCTTTTACACAACCTCACTGAGACAAAAAACTTAAAACAAAATAAAAGGGCTGAAGAAAATGTAGATGGAGGAAAAGGATCAGTTTTGATTACCATTAACGGCAAAACTACTAGGCACCGCAGAGCCATCAAAACGTTTATCAATAAATGCATGTACGAGGATCATGTAAATTTAATATAATTTTAAAGACCTCATAAACAAAGGAGCTTTGAGAAATTACCGTAGCAGTAGTTCGCTGTTTAGGTGAACCATGGTCAGTGGCATCAACCAATAACGTATAAACGCCTCTACCGTCCTCGTCGACTGCCACTCCAGGCGCCTCCCGGTCAAGGTCTTTGCTAGTCGTGATCACACCCTGAATAAACATAACAAACAGACCAACCTTCTTCCATATTCACATGTGAATAATGAGTGAAGATTAAACCTAATATTATTTATTTCAAGAAAAATTCCAAGCTTCTATTAAATTCGTTCAAGTGTTTACTTTTCACTGCGTTCAGATGTATCTGCTAAAGATAAAATAAAAGGAGAGACTGCTTAACGTAATCGTTGACGAAATCAGTTTGACCTTCCATTTTCACACAAACTTTAAAATAATGGCATGCAGACTCCAAGGGCGCAGATAGGGGGAAGAGGCTCTGACGGTGTAGGTGACTTTGGATTTTTCTTAATAGAAACACCTTAGTTTGATCCCCTAAGCAGTCTAGTCTAAAGTCTCCTTTCCTGCTGGTAATATCTGGCCCTCGTAAAATATTTGACTAAACCTGCACAACTAAACTATTTGTTCGTACATAAATAAAATTGCAAATAAAAACAAATTTTATGGCTCCTATCATCTTACCGTATTTCCATCAATAAGAAAGACATCTCCCAGATTTCCTCCACTGATAGAATAAGTAATGTTTTTGTTGTCCCCAGCATCCAAGTCAGTAGCATTCACTTGTATCACGTATATCCCCGCCGTGTCGTTGCCCTCTGTAAGCACCGCCGTCATGACTGGTCGAACAAACTCTGGAGAGTTGTCGTTTATGTCAGTTACATGAACAATTACTTCCTTGCGACCCTAGTAAATGAAGAGGGCAAAAAATTTTAAAACTGAATTTTTCGCGATTCTTTCATTGCAGTAGGCTTTTTCTGAAGTAAACATGGTCATTAAAAATTGTCAGTTGAAATGGGCCAAAACTTATAAATTTCGTTGCTGAAAGGAACTCAGTGGAGGTGCTTTTTCAGAGGAAAGTCAGAAAATTTTCAGTTAAATTTCTTCATCACCTGCTTGTTTCCAGTGTCGGTTGCCACAGCAGTCATTCGATAAAGACTCTTTTCCTCTCTGTCAAGAGACGCTGGACCTGTCCTAATTTCACCGGTGTTTGCATCAACAATAAATTTACCATCTGATCCTGTCACGGTAAAATTATAACAAATCTTTATTAGTGTATCACAGTGCAACAATCAAATTAACGTTTAGTACGAGGTTATTTTGGATGATAACTTTGTTGCGTTCATCGCAAGCCATACACTTAGCCTAGAGTGTCCTAGAGATGCTTGGGTAATTTTATTCCTCAACGAATATACCAGAGCTTTAACCGGGTTTGACGCACAAAATTGACAAACTCATTGAGTAAGCAAACAAAAAAGTTGATTCTTTGCGCAGTGACCAAATCGGTAAGGCTAGCATTACCTTCAAGGCTATACGTCATTCTTGCATTGTCACCGAGATCCGCATCACTTGCCCGCACACGGAGAACAAACAGTCCACTAGGTGACATCTACCAAAGGAAAGGAAAATTAGAACCTCTGTGTGCGACACGAAAGAATTTGACAATAGCAAATGGAATAGGAGCAAACGACGATTTAGGCGCCACTCTTCATAAATTTTTTTACTTCTCAGGTTCGCAAAATTTCTCTAACACTAATTTCATCATTGTAACTGACTTCCTTAAGTCTGCTCTGAAGAGAAACCCAAGTAAATTCCTGTAGCAACGCTCCGTGTGTAAGATTGCTTGTGTTAGGTTGTTTGAACGAAAACCGATATTTGTATTCACATGAATCTACTTCACATACAGTCTTCGATCAGATGAAAATCACAGAAGAATGAGAGCAAGTTTAAAATAGGAAAAGTTAATTAAAGACAAACTAGTCCTTATTTGAGCAATTGCGCTCTAACCGTCGTTTCAGATACTCAAACGTTGTAAAGAATCATGCAATCAGGTACTTGCCACTCACCTCCGGTACATATGCTGAATAGTGAACTGAGGAATTAAACTCAGGATTCCTATCATTTACATCTATGAGTCGAATGTCCAGCATCACGCTACTGTTGTGGAGACCGTCTGACACAAATATCTAAAACGAATGGAAAATTTAAGAGCCGTAAAGAGAACCACCATTGTCGGAGCTTACCACCCGATTTCCGGAGCATCAAGGACCTTAGCATGGACTTTGGATGGTTGTCCTAGTTTTTTTTCACTTGGTTTTGCCATTTGATCGTTTTTTCCTTTTTTTTCTTTTTTGGTTTTTGTTTGTTTGTTAGTTTTTTTTCCTCAGCAGTTTACCGATAAATATTTTATCATATCGTGGTGAGAGGAGGATTAGTTAGGTCTTAAAGTTTCTTTCCCATGGACATAACAAAGTAACGTCATCCTGGGCTCAAAACGGACCCCTCGTTCCACAATCGAGAGCAAGAGTAACTAGACTGACAACGCAAACTATGATATAAATAGAGCAAATATTAAATATCATGGTCTACTTACGATTAGTTTGTAAAGATCTTTTGTTTCCCGGTCCAGGGGCTTTGCCACGGTTACCTCCCCAAGGTATTTCCCGCCACTTTTGGTTGTTGTCATGCCCAAGTTGCCATTTGGATCCCCACTCAGAATGCTGTAAGAGAGCTGGAATAACAGAAAAATCAGAAATATTACCAGCGAAGCTAACCTAGGATTTCTGGAAATTGTTTCGTGGCTTTCTAGAAAGTTTTTCCTGCTTCAATCACATTATCCCTTAGTTCTGCCTTTAGCTAATACACGCTTTTAAAGAGAAGAAATTTTAAATTTCTTAACATATCCTCATTTGGAGTTGCCCAACTTCCAGGCAACCGGAGCCAAGTTTTGATTTCAGGTCGGTAATTCAATAGCTAACAAGAAATAGTGAAAAGTTTTGTCCATATTCCAAATTGCAACTTGTTAAACTAATGTTTGAAAGATAAACCCTAACATATATGATGATTGAGACCTGGTTAACATTACAAGATTCTCCAGGAAAAAAAACTGGTGGGCATTCTGAATCAGCCCCGTTTCCAACATATGGCTTCTGCAATTCACTTAACAGTAGAGCTCAACTGGTAGCGAGGTATGGATTCCATTCATGACGAAGTCGACATTCTTTTTAGCTCTTCTTCATTCTCTGCCATTGCTTTAATTGCAGTTCACCAAGGGGTAGACCATAATGTATTATATATCATTTCTAGTCAACTTCTTAAAGACCGTTTGTTGTGGAAAAGGTTAAACGGAATAATACCATTGTATTCTCCAGGCTGTCTTTGTCCGTGGCTTCTACTGTTGTCACAGTGGTCCCTACAGAACTGTCTTCTGAAATTTCACCCTGATAATCTTGGAATTTAAAAACTGGAGTGCGGTCATTTATGTCCTTCAGCAAAATTGTCACCTGAAACAAATTGATTTTATCAAATTAAATTTTACTATCCACCGGTCTTCAGCCAAGAAAGTAGTACATGGTCTTAACCTAAAACAAACTTTATTATAGGCCCCACTGGCACAAAGTGACCTCACTGTAGACAAGAATTGGACGATGTCTTAAAAGCCAACGTATCTGTTTTTATAGTTGCTAACCTACATTCTAACAGCAAGTTAACCCTATAGAGTTACTCACCGATGTTTCACCGTACCGAGGCGGGTTCCCGTTGTCTGTAGCCGTCACACGAAGCGTATAGTTTGGTATAATTTCTCTATCGAGAGGCTTCTGAACTACGATGATTCCCTATTTAAAAAAATGAAGTTTTAGTTTTTCAGTATGCCACTTTGGCGGAAAATCAGTGTAGATCTGAAGATGGCGATTTTTGTTCAAAGCTGCAAGTGTGCGACTTACCGAGTCGAAAAATATCTTAAACTGTCCATATGGATCACCAGCCGAGATGTTATACCCAATATGAGACCCAACGGCCGAGTCCTTCTCTGTCGCCTTGACCTGAACCACGTGACCACCGATTGTCTCATTCTCCCAGACCTCCACACTATACATGGGTTTCTCGAAATGGGGATTGTTGTCATTTTCATCTACCAAGGAGATGTTTACATGAAGTGTAGAGCTATTAAGCGGTGGAGTGCCTTGATCCATTGCCACGACATAGAATTTGTAACTAGAGAGGAAGAAAAAATCGTGGATGAAAATGCTGGATGAAATTCCGACGACTATAAATGTGTGTTTATGGGCAAAAAGTTAGTAGCATTTGATTGAAATATCATGTGACTCCTACCAACATAAAGGAGTCTAGGACGCAAATATTGCCTCACTTACTTCTGTTGTTTTTCGTAGTCCAACTTTCCAATTGTTGTTATTACTCCAGTTTTTGCGTTGATTGCAAATTTTCCCTCGGGTGAGTTCCCTGCGTAGGTGAGAACTTTGTTGGTGCCAACATCGGGGTCATCGGCAATCAACGTGTAGACAGGCATGCCGGGAAGTGCGGACTCGCTGATCAGAATGGTTTGCGGTAGTGCACGGAAGAATGGTGGATTGTCATTGGCATCAGCTATGTTGATATCCACTTCAACACTTGTAGATTTAGGTTCACCTGAAAAAACATGTAAATGACATGAAAAGAACGTTTTGGGGGCAAAACGTGTCTGTTACAACGCTTTTAAACACAGCTTTTAAATTATTTACGGTGGCCAATTTACGTTATCAACTCAGTTGACAATGCTAAATTACCCCGTTATATTCTCCCACCGACGCAGTACCACAGTGTCTTTAGAAATGTACGCCCTTTATTCCTTTATTACACCGAAACCTTTTTACATATACCATAACCCAGAACATTTTACCTTGACTAGATAAACTCTTATTCGTTGGCCTACCTGCACGATCACGAGCAGTAACTGTCAGTTCGTAAGCACTCTTCGTTTCTCTGTCCAACTTCTTAGCAACTGTTATATTTCCAGACGAATCAATGGAGAACACGCTTCCATCGTTACCGGCTACGAAAAACCAACAACAATAGAAATGTCAGCTAAAATCAAGGAAGCGCTAGTCCCAAAATGCACCAGCAATTAAACAAAATTGATTCATGATTCACGTTTCCCAATCGGCATAGAATCCCTGAGGTTGTTAGTATTTTGAATGCAAATCAATTTGACCGATCCTTGTGGTCGCCTCTCCGCGTGGTCATGTTAAGCAAAATGTAGCATTTCAAGCAAAATAAAAGAAATCACCAAGACTCTACGATCCCAATCATATACTGTTTGGGTGAATGTATATGTTTTAACTTTATGCACCGTCGAAATTCTAGTTTTTGTTGTTGTATGGATATTTGCAAGTTGCTCGTATGAAATCATATCGGTGAAGCAACAAAGTCTAATTGGCTGATAAGTTTGCTTTACCTCGTTGCTAGTTGTTTCAGAAGCTTTGAAAACAGATTTTGCAAATCGTTGGTAAAATATCAGACCTGTGATGGAATATACAATCTCCCCAGCCAGTCCTTCATCGCCATCCACCGCATGAACTACGGTAACAACCATGCTGATATCACTGTCCTCTCTGACTTCGGCCAAATACGTAAATTTATCAAACCGAGGAGCATTATCGTTTACGTCAGATACTGTTACGTTAACCAAGGCCGTGGAAGACTGAGGAATGGGGTACCCGTGATCCCTCGCAGTGACAATTAATGAATAGCCATCGGGTTTCGTTTCACGGTCAACTTTGCTTACAATGCTGATAACGCCTAAAATAACAGAAAAAAGCTCTCAAAATATGGTCTCAATAAATTGCAATTATGACTATTGATCCAGGGGATATAACTCCGGCGCTATCACGACATTCAGTTGGTGCAAATTTACTCGTAAATTCTGGGTGAAAAAAACCAGTTTCGATGATGGCTGCAATTTCACTTCGTTCAGAGCACGGAAGTGTTTTCGTAACTTGTCGTGATTGAGTGTTGGGATACCACCAATGAACAAATAAATGACCAATCAAAAGAAAGGAAATTAGTAAACGCGTTCCCGTATGTAAGCTTTACCGAGTTCCTTCTATCTCTAGAAGGTGGCGCGAATTTCTAGACCAGGTGGTAGCCAGGGTAAAGTAAAACCAACTTAAGACAGGATTTCCTACGCTAAAAAAATTTGGCATACTAACCAGATGTCCTGTTGATCGCGAAGACTCCATCCCCTCCCATGAGAGAATATATCAAATCAGCGTTACTGCCGTAATCCGGGTCATCAGCTGATACTCGGATGATAGATGACGACACAGTGGCGTTCTCACTGATGGCCACAAGGTATACAGATTCAGTGAATTGCGGTCGATTGTCATTTTCATCTTCGACATTTACTTCTAAAGACACACTTGTGCTCTGTAGAAAGAAAGATAGATTTCAAAATGACTAAGATGTCGAAAACTAAAATTTCAGCAAGAGCTTGTTCTTCCTTTCGTCCACCTTACACATGTTTGTGAAACAGTCGCAGAGAAGAGAAACCCTTTTCCTTACCGCCTCCAATATCGTCCGCAAATAAAAATATGGAACAATCGTAAGTACATTTTAAAATAAAATAATAAGGGCAACCAGCTAGTCAAAAGAGTAATTTGAAAGTGTCTAAATAATCTAGGGCAATAAATAGAAAATGACAGAAGAATGTGTAAAGAAAAGAAGCAATAAGCTAATTTGGTTATTGTTCACGGGTTATTTCTCCCTCTGTATTTGATAATGTGTCGATTTTATTTCAACAAACGTTTTCTCTTTGTTTCTTTGATTATTAATATTTCAAAAACTTGAAACTTATACTTGTAATTCATCACTACTTTTCTAAACGTAGAGTAAGAGACGCATCTCTCATGTAATGGCCCTTAATCCCATTTGACTTTCCTTATGTGGCATGCAGCCAATGAATAAACTCAGTTCCAAACCTTTGCAGCATCTCCTCCCCCGTCAGTAGCCAGCACAGTCAATTGGTATCGAGCCTGCTCTTCTCTGTCCAGTGGTTGAGTTGTGTAAAGGATGCCAGTTGATGAGTTTACAGCAAACTTATCACTGTTCACAGAAAAGGTAACTTGTCCATTTGAGCCATGATCGGCATCTTCGACCGAGAGCTGCATTGGAAAAAAGAAAGGGATATCTTAGGAAGTTGGAAGCGTATAACATGAACAAAAAGACCCTATGGCTTGATGAACAGAGTGAATTGTTTTGTGGGCAACATACTAAATCGGAAATCTCATGATAAAAGTTACATGAAAAAAAAGGTAAAAAAAATTGTTGTATAATAACTGGAAAAAACATTGAAAATTAATTTTTTTGCGGAAGGGTCGTTGGAGTTTCATTACTGATAAATAAGATTATTAAAAAAGTCTCGAATGTAGAAATCTATGATCAGATCTTCCAACGCCTGGAAGCACAGGAATCAAAGAACATTTAAACAAACAAACTTATTTTTAAAGAAGGTAAGTTTCCAAAGAAACTGTGGACTTGCGTCGTTGTGAGAATATAACAAGGTAATTTAGCATCATCAACTGAGTTGATGAGGTAAATTGGCAACCGTAATGAGTTTCAAAGCTGACGTTTCGAGCGTTAGCCCATCGTCAGAGCGAATGAAAAAGTTATGTTTGGTAAAACAGTTTGTTTTTCGAGTCCTTGCTTAAGGGTAAGACACCTTAACCCGGCCAGACCAGGGCTCGAGCTAAGAGCCTTTCAATCTGGAGAGCAGCACGTCAATCTCTGTTAATCTTATGACTCTCGCAACAACAAAAAAACAGCACAAGATACAAATTGAAGGGGTCCAAAACTACCCTTTTTAGTGCCGCAAAAAGCTTTGTATGCCATACAAAGATCGCCCCCTTGGTACTTACCCTGAGAACGCTTTGACCAGATGGTAAATTCTCCAAGACGCCTGCAATGTAAGAGCTCGATATGATGCTCGGGGCGTTATCATTCAAATCTGCAATGTTTATTGTCACTTGCACAGTGCTCTGTAATGACGGCGAACCACCTGAAAGAAAAGCATAGGGTAAACGTGATAAGATCCCTCCCTCTTTACCGTAAATAATATAACAGAGATCATCCACGATCAGATGTGCATTACAGATTGGAAAAAAGAAAATAAATAAACAAAAAAAAAGGGAAGAAAAGGCGCAACTTCTGATATGTTCCTTTCAGATGACTGTAAAACATAAAATGAAGCATTAGTTCGTGTAGTGTGATCGTCCGGGTGAGTGTAGTTCTGAAAAGAACTGTTGTTGGAGACTGACGTTTCGACTACCTGTGCGGTAGTCATCTTCAGAGTCAAGTGAAGAGTAGTTGTCAGTCGATGATGTTATAAAGTCTGGTCTGTTGAATGTGATTAGTCTGTTTAGCCTTGATGTGATTGGCTGGAAGACCCGTGTAGAGTTTGTTAACAGTCATTGGTCGGTTTCGATCCGTCTGTTGTTTGTCGGTCTGTTTGTCGGTTTGTTCACGTCGTTAATGAGTCGTTTGTAAGGTGCTGGTAGTTGTTGACATCTGTTGAGAGGCGTCTGTTCTAAGTTAGTAAACCAGCTTTCCAGAGTCAGTCGTTGAAAATAGTTTGTACTGTAGGTTAAGCATTTAGCAGAGTCCCAGTCGATTCTGTGATTAGTTTGTCGGTGATTGTTTACATCGCCATTTCTAGTTGCTCGTTTGTGTTCAGTTAGTCGCGTGTTAAGGTTTCTACCAGTCTCACCAATGTAGGAGGCCTGGCAGTCGGAGCATTCGATCTTATAAATCGCTCCCTGTCTGTTGTTGGGTTCGTCTTTGTCTTTAACGTTGGTCAGCAAATGTCGTAAAGTAGTATGTTTACGACATTTGCTGACATAGTCACTTGACTCTGAAGATGACTACCGCACAGGTAGTCGAAACGTCAGTCACCAACAACAGTTCTTTTCAGAACTACACTCACCCGGACGATCACACTACACGAACTACTGATACTCCTGGGATCAAACCATTTACTTTAAAATGAAGCATCTAAATGCATTCTAGAACGTTTATCCTTGGAGAACCATTTAGCACATCACCATGCTATATGGGCGTTCTTTCTGATTTTAAATGTAATGCTACTTTTCTTTGTGTGACGAACACTTTAAAATAGCAGTATCAATTCTGCCTTGAACGCTGCTAAAATCCTTTTTATCATAATCTATTTTTACATTTCACTGCCTATCTTAAAAGAGATTTCTCACCGTCACTGGCCTCCACTCCCAGCACGTACTGATATATATCTTCTCGGTCCAGATCCCTGGCGACTTTAATTTCTCCCGTCTTCTCATCGATAGTGAACGCATCCTTTACATTACCGCTGACTATCATGTAAGACACTACGCTGTTCAAACCCTGGTCAGCGTCATCTGCCCAAACCTAACAAAAAGTGTTTCGTTGAAAACGTCATCGTTATTAAGAAATGTCTATTCTAGTGGTACACCAATGCCGAGGCTCATCCCAGTATCACTAGAGGTATTGTTCGTCTTCATAGACGGAGTACTAAACTTTCAAAGGTAATCCCCAGCCGTCCAAGGGCCTAAAATCTAACCACCAACTGTGAAAAAAAATCTTCTTTTTAACTTTCAAAGATATCTTCATAGAAAAACTTTCACAATACAGTAACCCGTACCTAGAAACCGAACGTCAGACACATGGTAGTCTAAAGATTAGCGGAATGGGGCCCGGATTCAAGACCTCGTAGGATCATGAAAGTGTGTTCTTCGACGAGACATTTCATTCTAGCCAGGCCTTTCTCCAGGTATGAATGGATATCTGCAATCTGTCAGTGAAACCTGATGGACTGCTGTGGGGCGGGGGGGGGAGGAAACCTGGGATGAACTGGGATCCCATCTAGGAGGAGTGCCAATATTCCTATTCGCTTCATAATATGGAAAACGGGATAAGCTGCTGTACAACTAGGCTCAAGTACGGACTTTGACTGTTAGCACCCCCCAAAAAAAAATCCTGAGTACAATTGCTGTGATGCATTGTAACAATTCCACGACCAGAGACGCAACTTTGAGATGCAAAAATTGTTTACGCAAGTTACATCTGCGAAGATTGAACAGATATGCTTATTTCACTTCACCTGCAACGCCACAAATCCTACACTGGAATGCTCTGGAAGATCAGCGAGGTAGCTTCCGTTCCTAAATACCGGAGGGTTATCGTTCGCATCCAAGACTTGTATTTCCACGACGGTTGTATTGTATCGAGGGTGAAATGGATCTAAATCGAGTGCACGTACTTCGAAACTGTAGTTCGCCTTGGTCTCTCGATCCAATACTCCAATAGCACTTACTACTCCGTTGTCCGAAAGCGCGAATTTACCTTTGTACTGGGGAGAGCTTGGCATTTCTTTGCCTGTAACATGTCCTGAAATTTCAATCAATAATTTTGTATAACCTAAACTGACTGGCCCACAGAGCAACCAGCCGGGTCAAATGGATTCTGAGGGAAGGACAAATGACTGACTGTAAACTACAGTAAAGTATATGCAATATTTTTTGTCAACACTCACGTGATATTTTGTAAGAATGCAGCACTTCTTCGTCATTAAGGCGCTTGCGCCAAATGAGAAGATCGCTGACCGATAAGTTTCCATAATACTGTGGACTTTCAACATTGTTAGGTTTTCCAATGCTCAAAAGGGTGAAAATATCGCTTCCACGTGTTATATCCTCTGAGGCCTGGGTAGAGGCGATCAGTTGTCCGTCTTGAAAGTACCGTAACCCTGTCTCGACACTCCATGTAAAAGTGAAGTAAAACCAATCCTTTAAATATCAATAAGGGCAACTTTATTCAATTTGAAAGTGGTCAAAGATTTCTTTTGCTTCACCTCGCTCTGTGTTTGGTCTGAAAAACTTGCTCCACTGTTAGGGTCAGATAATTTATGTCGACATAATTTTGGGCATAATACTATAGTCAGAGGAATTTGATCCCGTGAAATGTTATGTTCTGACTGGACTTCGCCGGATAAGCCTTTTATTTTCAGCAAGTTGTGACTGTTGGTGGTAAGAGTGGAGGGGAAGGTTGAGGGGCTCTTAAAAGCTATCATTCTGAATTAAAAACTTGAGCATAACGAAACATTTTGCAAGTCACGCCATAATGCCATGATTTCAGGGATGACACTCAAAAGCATAACACTCAAATTGTCCTGAAACTTTATCTGAACCTATCCACTGGAAGTCTCGACCAACAAGATAATTAAAGGTCGTTACTGTACATTTGCTTTGATATCTCACTGGCTCTGTGAGGCAGTAACTTTCTGAATCTAGATGTTCAAGTGCTCTGTTCTCGTGTAAACAAAGTCGGATACTGTTCCAAGATTGATTTACCATATCTTACCCTTGGTATGGTGTTAACTTTTAGACTCCATTCACTGGTGGAGGTTTCCAAAATCAGCCTAAAGTCACCAGCCGCTGACTCCCGATAAAAATCGAATCCTGTGGCAAATCCTGATGCTCCGCCTGATGATATAACGTACTGACCAGAGACGAACTTCAGCCAGAAAGCAATGGAGAGTCCTTCTGCGCACAAACTCGGGTTACTAATGCAGTCATCTAGAAAGTAGTACGAAAGTTAAGACATGATGCAAATAATTGTTTTTTTGTTGTTGTTGATGATGTTATTTTTTTGCCTGTATCAGGTTTTAACTGACTATAGAATACCTCACTGATAAATTCCTCAATCCTGTAAGGCTTGGAAAGCTACTATACGTCACAAGACTCGGAAAGAAAGAGCGGGGCATGGGAATAAAGCGCCAAAACGAACGCTATTGATCAAAGCTTCCAATCTTCCAAAGAAAACGTCAAATGCCCTCCATGACATTCTCAAGATTCATTTTATCACCACAACATTAATTTAAGGATGTCACTCTATTTACAATATATAAATCGAAATAAAGTCTCACGCTTCCTCTGACTTCCGGTAAAGGAAATATGAAAAGAAAAGAAAAAAGAACAGGAAAAGACGGAACAGAATGAGCTGCGACTCAGGAATTTTATGTTCCACTTCAGAAAACAAAATCCGAGAGAAATGCAAATCTCTTACAAAGGCAAGACAAGATTTTCTCCTTCAAAATATCTGAAAAGAGAAGAGAATGTTGCCTCCACTCTCAGTTGACAATTTCAGTAAAGCCTGGAACAGGCTAGAAAATTTTGCAATAACAAACACGGCTATAAAGATAAACGCGTTTATTTCAACAAGAAGCATGGTGCTGATGGGATGGTAAGACGTGAGAAAAGTGGAACCCATTCCGCTGCAGTAACCAGCCTTTTAGAAGGAGACCAGTGGAAACTCTGGCATAAAATATAAGGGTCTAAATCATCTGACAAGCCTGAATAATACAGGCATTTTAGAGGCAGAAATCATCAAATAAAAACCTTAGTATTTATATCTTTTCATAAGGGTCCAAACAGATTCATCAACAGCCACAGCCACTAAAAGACCATTCAAGAAATTTGCCGCTAAAATCAACCAATAAAAACATCGCTGTGATTATGTGACTATTTAAGCGTGACTACTCGTGACCACCCGTGAACACGCAAGCAATGCATGAATAACACACGCTGGCATAACGAAGGAGGAAGTGAAGCAATTTAAAGTCATAAATACACAGACACCGAAAACTTGTCAGTAAGAAAAGGAGAAAATTACTTTAAAAAACTTCTCAGATTTAATCTGTGCCACAAATTCCCCGTAAAAAGGATAGATACGTGTGTGACGAAAACCTCGACTAGAATCTATATTTATTCATGACTCACCAGATTTGATCATTTATTCACGAGGGGAATATATCATTTTAGATGTCGGTCACGCATTACTATCATTGACTGATTCAACTTGTCTTTTCGTCCTTACACAAGCGTTTCTGAAATTATTACAAATCTTCCTGTTTGACCAAAATGTCTTTAGATCCTTCACATTAAATATCTAAAGCAAGAGAAAATTCTAAGGTTACTCCTTCCTTCGTTTATCTCTATATTGTAATGCAGATATCATTAGTGAACTTATTGGCATGATCATAAACATAACTTCATTTGAAATCGAGATTTTAGCTAATGAGGCCTTTTCAATACGTCAGTAGCTTTCAGTAGGTTCATCTTGTCACAAAACATGACGTGAAGAGCATGTGTTTGACGAGAAACGCATCCTGAAGGAATCATGATTTCTGAAGCGTGTCATTCCCCTCCAAGTAATCTGCAAACCCTTACAAGACGCCAGATCAATCTAGCAACATTGCTTAAGAAGACGAATGAAAGACAAATCACTTTATGAGAAGGAAATGAAGAGCAAAATCGAAAAGATGAGGTCAAGTAGAGGCGAGGGGTGTCGGATTCATGTGAGATAACCCTCAGCCGTCCGGACCTCGACATACTTGGTGTGACTTAACGTATATATATGGTTCAGGTTAGACTATCCGGTGATTATGGTATGTATATAAACATATGGCTTTCCTCACGCACGCGCTGGTAAGGGTTCATAAAACGGTGCGATGAAAAAACTTTGTGTGGTTGACTCGTCTGTGTTATAAGAACGAGATACACGTAAGGATTCCGTCATAACCGTATCAACATTTTCTTATTTCTTTAACAAGTTTCAATAATTTTCAGGGAAAACCAAAGGTGTCTGACTAAGTATTAAGGAAGAGACTCGTTCGAAGCAGCCGAGCGGAAGCCATAGCAACAGTAGCTTCCTATTCGCTCCTTTAAAATTCAACGTCCATTTATCATTTATTTCCGTTTTTGTTTTTGTTCGTTTTTTTTTTCTTTTTGAAATGTTTTTTAACTTCATTCTTACTTTTAAACAGGGAACGTGATTCTTTTAACATGCATTGGTTTATGTTCATTTTCTCAACCGGAATAAACACTAATCTTTCAGTTTTTCATTCGCAATTATAAATTTGAAAGAAGTAACACGAAAAGGAAAAGATAGTTGAAAATAAGATAGGAAGTCAAGTTATGAGAAGGGTATAAGGGAGGATTGAGAACCCTTCTCACACGGACCTCGATAAAGACTACAGGTCACGCCGATTTTATAACTTCCTCCCCTGACGATTCAATAATTGTGGTGTAAAATATTGGATATTAATATGTGAACACGCGCAGTAGAGACAATAGTTCCGTCTGTGTGGCCTCTGCGTTTTCCGACCAATCAATTCTGGCCAAACGAAACAGATTTCAATGCTATCTGACGAAACAAAATTAAAGGGAAAAAAACCGAAAACATTTTCGGTTATTCGGATCTACCGCCCCTGAGTCACCTTGCGGTCTAATTCTTGACTTCCGGTTAGAGACTGAGCAAATAAAAACTCAAACTAAATTCTAGTAGAATTAAAGAAATCTCATAGTAGAATTCAAATCAGGCTTCTTAAGCTTCCTCAGAGCTTTATTCAGGACCTCCTTAAAAAACGCGTTCAGATCTTTCAGCGATGTCATGTAACTTTACGACACAATAAAGGTCGACCTGCAAAATAGACGCGAACTGAATGCAAATTTTTCATGCTCTGACAGACCACAAAAAAAAAATTCTCAAAATTTGTTTCGAAGCAACCGAATGTAAAACTAGTTCAGTTTTGATGAAAGTTAAATCCACTGGCAGAATTGTAAAAATTATTGTATTCATTACGGCTTACTTTCCAAAGATCGAGCGAAATAAGGTTCTCAGTAATCACGGCCTCTGAGTCGTATTTGCATGAAAGTCACGTTTTGGAACAAATAAACCGAGGACCAAGTTAACCTGGGTAACCACCTGACGTCATAGATAACGCAATCACTAGAGATCTTCCGCTTCCGTTTTCGAAAGGCCGCAGAATGTTTGAAATAAAACATTGCACTACCTTGTTAGTATTCCCTTTGAAACTTCTTTCTGTTTTTGATATTTTCTCTTAAATTCTTCAACCTCAAAAATGACAAAAAATTTTACGTTTAGCGCCAAGAACTAGAATGTCAGAGCAGCTGTATTTTCTCGCTAACCAAATGATAACACAGTAATTTGAATTTCTCTCTGACGGTGCAGATGAAACTATCAAATGACTCTATTTTTTCGTAGCAACATTTCCCTGATTTTATTCCCTGGTTTTGAGGCCTGCCTTGAAGCTTATTACAATTCCTATCGGTACAGTTCAAAGTTAACGCAGGCCGGGATTTGCAGCAAAGTTCCTGTCAATAGCATATTCAAACAGCGAATTTGTTTGATTGTTTTGACAAGGTTCGTTGATTTATTGCTCGAGCGGATTACGACAGAACATTTGATTTGCTTAAAGCGTAATGTAAGAAGTTTTCATTCTTATCAAGCCTATAATTCTCATGTTTTTTTTCCATTTTTCTGAGCATACTTGTTGCCTTATGCAGTCGATGAATATTTCAATTGCAAGATATGCCTTTTATAGATGCCAGTGAAATAACTGCTCGGAAGAACTACATTCTGACAATCAATAATTTCATTCCAATCTGTAAGGATCTTTCGACAGATGGCAAAATACACATGAGGTCTAGGGAGAGGAGGAGGGGTGTTCAATTCTAGTGGATAACCCTCCACCGTCCGGACCTCGACAGAAGAGTTGATGATAGAGATATTTATATCTTTCAGGTTGTTGATCTTATACTTGTGGTGCTTTACATGCATTAACGCAGGCGCAATTGAAATCAAAACGAATTTGGAAAGACTCGATTAACTAAGCGTGAAGCGAGATGGTGAAGGTTGGTCATTGGAAGCTACGCACAGATAGATTTCTTTACCAAATGAATCATACACGAGAATGATATCGTCTTGTTTTTATAATGTACAGAAACACTTAAAATACAAATACAAGTGTCAAAGGCAAGAGAAAACTGGAAGGTCGAATTATGGCGAAAATACTTAGCCGGGGGGCTGCAACACTTAGTTACCAGAGGCGGATCCAGACATTGAGCTAAAGGGGGGGGGGGAGGGAAGCGGTTTTTTTGTCGCTTGCCCTGCCGGCTTTCCTTTCATCTGCGATTCCTTTTTTTTTTTACTCAAAATAAGGGGGGGGGGCCCTAGATCCGCCACTGGTTACAGATTTCTTTCCTCACCATCATTATCCTGTAATGTATTCTATCGATATCACTGGAGCTTTTGCTAGCTGGCAGGGCTTCATTCAAGGTCATGTTTGTAGCAATGGTTAAAAGAAATGTTTGAACACAAACCCCGTCGGTTTACTTCCTTTGACCCCAACCAAACAATCATGCAACAAAAGTGTTTCACTCAGAGATAACATTACAAATGTCTTTCCAGCCAAGTAGACATTTTTTTTTTCACTTTTCTATGAATTGAGTTAGTTGTATTAACATGAAGAAAAGAAGAGACCGCTGACAGGAAAGCATACTTATGTGATGGGATGGGAAAGAAAATAAATACCTTTAAAGTCCCCCATTAGTAACCACCCCTCAGATGCTTCGAGTGACACCACATTGCCGAGGTCTGGGTCAAAGACTACTTTCGCACCGTTTTTTAACTCCCCTTGGATACCACCACGTGTGTCCAGAACCTTGCCACCATCCCCACGGTCAAGTGGCCATTGGTGGTCACGATAAAAACCTAGAGTATATGAAAAAAAGAAAAAAAGAAAAAGGAGAAAAATGCAACGCCCCATTACAAACCAGGCACTTTGCAATAAGTGTCGTGATCCTTTCGCGACCCAACCCAAGCCTCCCGCTTTTCTCACTCCGCCACTACTATCGTGACATTTATTCACTGTCGCACTCCGTTTTAATAACTGAACGCCTTGGACAGGCAAATCAAACCCCTAATTACGTTCAACACCTATCTTTACATTCTCACCGATTCTCATCAAAATAAATTGCAGAGAAAGATTTTTTTTGCTCTTAGCACAAGAGCGTAAGGCAGAATAAGCAATGTAGCGCCGATAGATTTAAGTCGTTTTAGCTGTGAACACTTGAAGTCTCAATTTTAATTCGAGTTCGCGTGTGGAAACGGATTTTTCAAAAACCAAAAGAGTATGCGCGTGAACTAGTAACAATAACCACCGCCAGATTTATTTTAATACACTGAGAGTCATCCCAACTAACGAAAAAACAGAAGATTTCAGTTATCTCGCTAAAATGTGGACATAAAGGAAACAGATATGATCCAATAACGTCAAACAACAATAGTGATGAGGAATAACAATTTAAACAATGTTTAAAGTAATAAACTCACTTGTCTGGTTCACAAATTCGTACTTTAATTCACCAAAAGCAGAATTCTTATCGTCTTGATCTTTATCGACGGCAGTCACTTCACCAACAACTTTGCTGCTATCCACGTAAGAGCCCTGATATCCAGAGAAGTAAGTAACAGGATGAATGCTTCCAATGATCTTAGATTTATTCACGAAAGAAGATAGTATAGAAGAATACAAAATGATTAAGATATTCCGTTCACGAATAAACGATCGATATTGATTTAGAGAACGCCATACGCTAAGCTAAATAATAACATAGCTAGCAGAGCCGCGCAATCAAATTCAGTATACGTAAGCGTGCTCAAAATCCCGATAGTGCACGCTGATAGCGTGAGAAAATCGCTTCGCCTGAAATTTTTTTTTCGCGCGAGCGGCCATTGTTAGCGCGGGGAAAAATAATATATTTCGCGACGATAATGGATACAAACAGAGACTCGGCCCACCAGTCCCAAAACGAAGACAATTTTCCGACCTTTTCCCTTGGGCTAGAGTTCTTAAATGGGGCAGAAAAAGAGAAAAAAAAGGAAAAGGAGACTCTGCGAACAATCACTTCTGATATTGTTGTCCGTATTTCGCGTCGGATTTGATGCACAATTCCACCGGCTATGTTATAAAACAGTTGGTTCATGCTTCTAGCTGTGCACTATCGAGTTATGGAGCACGTGGGAAGTTTGGAGAGCACTCAAGAAGCTAGAGCTGCCTTCGGCTATTGCCTCGGGCAGCTCTTACGCTTTACTCTTACGTGCTCCATAACTCGATAGTGCACGCTAAAGCATGAACCAATTGTTAAACAGTGTAACAACTCGAAGTCTGCATTACATGATGTTGTCTTTTAATGAGCCTAGATGAGATTTTTCTCCAGTTCAAATCTTTCTTCAAGCCAGAACTAAGGGACCAGTCCTTATTTTTCCCCTGGGGGAGGGGATCAGAGGATTCAGGCCACGGTACGTGTTGAGGACTTATGTCGCATATTTCACACCCACCTCTAACGCGCTGAAGAGAAACTTCTTCTGAGTGAACATAGGAGTGTTGTCGTTAACGTTTTCAAGTTCAATTATAATTGTGGTATTCCTGGAAGAAATGATATGTAAGACTAGATTAACTGTATATTGTAGCCATTATGGTCATCTGGACGGAGATCACACTTCTCTATCAGTTCTTCCAGGAGAGTTAGACAATTGGTAGTTCGTTGTTAGACTTTGTGATTAAGTTCTGTTGTCTCTAGTGCTTCCCTCAAGCTTTCCCCGATAAGAAAGTGATCCAGTAGTTGTTTGCTATTTCTTTATAGTCTATGTCTAGGGTTGCTAGTATACATTGTTAAAAGATAAAAGAGACTGACGTAAGCGGATGCATCAGGGTGGCAACGAAAGGTTCTTTTTTCCTTCCTACTCGTTGGGTAAAATTAGATATTTCACATCCTTTAAGATAACCAAGTTTGTTATTTAGGGTCATATCGGGCAACACCAAAATACTGACCCTGATAGCGGAGGCATCCCTTTGTCTGTGGCTGTAAGGGTCAGTGTGTATGTGTTTGGTTTTACATCGTAATCAAACGGTTGGTGGCTTGATATAACGCCACTCGAACTGTCCACAGTAAACTGAGGAGGAACCTATGATTAAAAAAAATAGTTCTAGTCCAAAAAGAAAATTTTTACTGCGGTATCATTAAAGGTTGACTAAGAGAAGGATTCTTTTGAATGGTGGATAAATTCTCTCCACAGAAGAAAGAGGAGGAGTTATCAAAAAAATATTCGAAAGGATGAAAAGATGCATACACGGGCAGCATACACGGGCAGCATACACGGATGCATACACGGGCAGCATACACGGATGCATACACGGGCAGCAGGGAAGATGACAGTAAAAACTCTAGCGACAAGTACACAAAATCATCCAGTCCTCGTCTTTGCCCTTAAACACATTCGATGTAAGATACATAAAGGAATCACTTGTAACATTATCTGCGTCGGTTATGAAGCTGTGCTTGCAGATAACTGGTTTGTGAGAGTTACCTGTCAGTATTCCTTATGTTAACTAATCCAAGAAAAGCAACGCTTGCTCACCTGATCATTGCCTGAAGTGATGGCAAAACTCAGCTCTTGATTGGTGGAAGTATCTCGGTCGTTACTTACAGGGCGTAAAACAACAGTCCCTTTGGGGGTATCCTCTAGAACTGTCACGGTGTATACAACTGGTAAAGTAGGACAAAGAATGCGTTACGATGTACACAGCTAATAGCCTGATTAAGGCAGTGGGACATAGAATGCGTTACGCAGTAGTATGGACACGGTTATCATGACTCATGATAGCCGTGAACATACAACTGCAGAGGAAGATTGGATAAAGAGAATATCGTTTTAGAGAATACTTTGCTTGAAGCATAGTTGCAAATTCTTTATTTTTCTCTATCTTTTTTAAGAAGATCCAGTAAATAACATAGGTACGATATGCACAGCTTCATCCATTTGGAAGTGACTAAGTTGACTAGTGCTCCTCTTTGCTCTTAGCTTAGAACGAAAATTAAAAAAGACATCCCAAAAGGAGATTGGAAAAATGGCCGGGCTAACATTTTCAGGGCTTGATTAGTTCAAATATAGGTTAAGTGCCAAGGTAACGATTAGTTTAAAAAGGTTGGTGATCGAACTCAAAAACAACTCAGTCTTAGTAAGTATTACATGACCTACCAGATTCAAAATACGGTGGACTGTCATTCACGTCAAACACAGTGATACTAACCTGTCGTTTAAAGAGAAAATGAATAGTGGAAAACAAAATAGAACATTATACAAGAAAAGCGACGACTTGGATGGAAGGGAGGCGAAAGGTCACACTCCTTAGGTATAAATTTTGTTGTTAAATAAAGTTGTAAATTCCTCTGTTATCGTGCTATGTCGTTTCTTCTCCACAAAAAACAAGTTCATCAAAAGCTTCGCTCCTGTGCAAAGGCTTAGCAACTAAGCACACAAATGCAAAATTACTTTTGTAAATTTTTCGCTGAGAATAAAAGATTCCAGATCCTTTCCATCAGGTTATAACACGTTCCTAATAAGTAACGTTCTACAAATAAGTGAAAAAAAAACGCTCCTACATGCCGGCTTCTTCCCGATCGCAGAAACTGAACCAAACATCTGAGCACATTCAAATGTTCTATATAGATTATGGTAATCCTCACCCTTGTGGTGGAGTTTAATGAAATTTTTCCTTGGTCTTTAGCCATGATCTAGAAAACAAGAAAAAGTAGACATTAGTTTGAAAGAGATTACGAAGCTAACAGTTTTGTAACGTTGAGTCCACGATAAGACAGCGGAAATAATTCAAAATCAAGAAAATGGACCATTACCGTGAGTAAGAAAGAACTCTCGTTCATCGGTGGATCTCTGTCAATGGGACTCTTCACGTAAATTATACCACTAAAGACATCAATGAAGAACCTCTCAAGGTTATTACCGCTGACAATGGAGTATCTCAGAGCCATGTTTACATTGTCATCGCGATCTTGGGCAGAGAGTTGTAAGATGGCGGTACCAGTAGTGATGTTTTCATATATTTCAACGTGATACAAAGGGTTTGCAAACAATGGTCTGTGGTCATTTGTATTCTAAAGAAAAAAATGAATTTTCCATACATTCATAAAGTCGTCCATTTCATATTGGAAGGGAATTCAAGATTGAAAACTGCGAGACATCGATACGCCCTACAATCTTAAATCTCTCGCGTGCAAGCGACATTAAGACCAGTAAAAAAATGACCGCTTTCCGTTGTTATGGAAAGCATAAAATGCAGCACAGGGTATCGTCCTGAGCTGCGGACCCTGAAATTTCAATTTTGTCTTCCCTTTGGGCTCATTAGCGACATTCTCCAAATACGCATCTGGGGCGTATCTCCGATGCTGTCACCCTTCCCCCTTCTCCCCCTTCCCCCCCTCCCCCCTAAAATTATCTTTCATATTCTCCACGCTGTTCTCTTAACATTTCCTATGGTACTGACGAGGAGAATTTGTTTGACAATCAGGAGCGTCCTACATTGGTGATCATTTCCTTTATTCTCATGACCTGTACATTTGATTTAAAGGTGATACTGTATGGAGAAATTAGAAGCCAGACACTCATAGGGGTTAATGGGTGAAAACCCTTTGGTGACAGTAGAAGTGTACCACGGTCTTATTCTAGGCTCTCTACTTTCTACGTAGGTGTGGCGTTTACTTGCATGAGAAGCCCAATGTTCAAAAGAAATACTCAAGATATCACTTTCATCGTTGTGATTGGGTTGAATTCATCGTCAGTGACGATAGCATTACCAAAGCAAGGTGATTTTTATCCCAAAGTGCTCCGACCATAGAAGAAAATAGGGATCAGGAAAGCCTTACCTCGACGACAACTTCAACCACAGTAGAATCGTCAAACACCACTCCATAACTGTGGTTACCATGGAGATCGGACACACGAACCAATAAGATGTAGGAATCCTGCTGTTCTCGATCTAAGGGTCGTGTTGTGGAAAGAGCACCGCTGGCAGGATCGATGGCGAAACTGTTGTCAACATCTCCAGAAAGTATTGAATACAAGAACGCCGAGTTGATGCCAATATCTCGGTCAGTTGCCTATATAGCGAAGTTACATTAGTTGGTTCAGTTAAAAAAAAACATGCGCAACGAAAGCAAACGATGTAAATAACTTTTAGATTAGTAAAACAGCAAATTTTCGAGCTCCAGGAGTACCATTCGGTCGTCTAGAGAAGCTGGTATTTTGCCCCGTTTTCCACGGTTGGTTGTAATTCATCTTGCTTTAACTATTCTGCCAATGCGATTTTATGACAGGAACAATTCAAAGAAGGGACGGGGATACCACCTAAGTGCTTACGTCCAGACGGGCGTATGCCAAGGAAAGAACTGACATTAAAAACCCTACAAAAATGATTGCTACCAAATGAATAGGCAAAGAAGCCTTTGTTGCCTGTGACAAGGCAAGGGTTTTACAATAGCTACAGTAGTTCAGAACAAACTAAGGAAGTAAGTTGGAAGTTCTGATAGGTTCTAGTGAAGGATCAGGCGGACGCTGTCGGAATTAGTACCACGCACGGTTAGCGAGCTGATACATTGGGCCTTCCTTCGGAATAACAATACTTTCAAAAATCCAGTATATTATATAAAACAACGACATTGATTAATTAAAATGGATTAATAAATCCAATAAAACATGAAAAAAAAAACCAGGTCACTCAAAATACCGTCAAATTCAAGATGACATGCGCGGGAAGTTGCTCCTCCACTGCTACAAAGTAATGCCGCTGACTGAATACTGGACTATGATCGTTGACGTCAGAGACGTTTATCACAACATGAACTTCAGCCTGGAGATTAGAAAGACCTTTATCTTTGGCTAGAACCCGGATGTTATGTTGGTCACCAGACTCACGATCTAATGCAGTAGTTGTCTTTATTTCACCAGATGTCTGGTCAATGGTAAATCTGGAAAGAAACCGAAGAGCTTTTTTTCAGTGAATGACTGAGAAACAGATAGAAATTAAAGACAGAAATGAAATGCATGTTCTGAACTAGCACATCTTTTAGTTGCGATATCTAAATGGATTTATGTATCAAACATGAATTCATAGATCTTCATATCAATGGATTGAGTTTCTTTTTCAAATTATAGCCAAATGCATGAGCCTTAACTTGACCACCTTCATTCTTTTTAAAGATAACTTACTTCAAGTAATCTTGTACGGACTTAAGGCTGTATGTGACTTCTGCATTTATGCCCTCGTCAGTGTCTATTGCCTGAAGAAGTAAGAAATTTAAATATTAACAGCCAAGTTTGATGTGTGAAATGGTAGTGAAACTGAAACAGGAGGTATGTTCGAACAAGGATACAAAGTACATTCAAAATAGCGCGCTTAGAACAGGAAAGAGAAATTAATTTCGTTCAACTGCTGCCAAGTCTTAAAACTTACAACGCTAACGCTTTGAAACAAATAAAAAAAATCCTGACTTTTACTTCAGTGTAACGGCACGGTTTTACCAAAATCAATGCAATACTACGTGCTTCAACAACAAAAAATGACTTCGTGAGGACCAAACTGAAGCCGTTATTGAACATAAAAGGAACAAGAACAAAAATGTCCCACTCTCACTTACCTTGACCATTCCGACAGTTAAACCAGCTTTTCCCTCGTCCACCGAAAAGTAATAACCGTCTGGTTCGGTGAATACCGGCGAGTTGTCGTTGACATCCGAGATATGAACAACCAGACTCTTTGTTGTTGACTGTTGAGATGGAATCAGATTTTTACAAAAGAAACCTCTTGTCTGGGAGGGTGTAGGGGCTGGTCTTTACTAACTCACGGCTTATTAATAAATGAATCCCGATCTTCTGTTATACCCCATCTCATTTACAAAATAATCGCTCAGCTTAATTTCATTTGAACGGGAGTATTAGTCTATGCCATCTTAGAGATAAAAGTAAAAATTTCCAAACATTTATATGAGACATTATTGCACAAGGGTGGAGCCAGGATTTTTCAAAGGGTTACATTTAGACAAACAGAGGGTACTCGTCAGATTGTAATGTCGACCTCCACGCCGTGTTTTACTTAATGTGTCAAAAACAGGCTTACAATGGGGGGATCTCGGACGCTCCTGGACTCCTCCTCCTTCCGCTAAACCCTTGTTTTGGTCGTGTCATATTCGCCGCGCGCTAATCAAATAACCCTATACTAACTACTTCGAAATTAAAATGAAACACAATTTTTTTTGTTTGAGTTAACGCGATAAATTTCCTGTTTATAACATTCCTCGTAAATCTAGTTGCTGTCGAGGGGTTGCACAAAAACAAAGCTACATCAGAAACTTGTAAAGAATTCAAAAGTGAAGCTCAAAAGGTGGAGAGACGCCTCGGACCTTAAGCATTTCATCTTTAAACAATCTCTGAGTTATCCATCTGTCGTTACTAACCTTTCCTCCTCCATCTTCGGCTGTAATTTGAAGAGAAAACTGGGCACTAGTTTCTCTGTCCAGCTTTCGAAGAGTTGAGAGACTTCCGCTGAAATCCAAAAGTTAAAAAAAAAATTTTGGAATGACTTGGTTATGATCTCTGAGAAAACTCACGTCCAATCTTGAGTGCTGGGCGAGCATTACTTATAAGAATAATTAGAGAACATAAGACGTTATTCTGTCGTGACAGATCAAAAGGAAGTTTTTCCATAATAAATCTCTACGACAAAACTTACATTCGGATAGAGTGCAAGCAGCAAAAACTAGCAACGAAACATGCAAAAATGAGGTGGTTATGACCTCGATTTTCAAAAAGGTACAATTATCTCAAAACGGATGATTATCTGTTCACAACTCTTTTGATTAGTTCTCTTCCCACTTCTCAGTCCATGAGGACCTTGATCAGTTAGAAAAATAATTTTGCTTGGATCCACACATTATACTGCGACAGACAAACGAAGCATGGGTGATTGGATGAAAATGTACTAAGGAAAAGTCTGTTTCTATAAAGCCACATAAGCTTTAAATAGCGTTTTTCTAGGATGATTCTTAGCAAATATAGATATTTCATATGAATTTTATGATGCTTTTACCTGTTAATATTCAAAGAGAAAGCATTGTCAATATTCCCAGCGGAAATACTGTAACTTACAATAGCGTTCACACCTTCATCAGGATCAGCGGCCTAACAAACAAAAACATTGCAATGTCAATACTGTTAATCCATCGCGACTTTCGATCTTTCTAGGTCGTCAGTTGTTTGAAGCGACTTCACATCGATTGGGTATTCGCTGATGGATTTTTACACCAAAAAATGGTAATGATCAGTGAGTATAAAGTTTGGGAAAACGGTCTAAGTGTGCATTTGAAGATCTTTGTTATTGTGTAGGTCTACATTATCAGTCAATGATAAAGAGGATTATCAATCAGGTCGATTACCATCATCATCGTCGCCGTCGCTATCATCGCTATTATTGTCATCAGTAACAGGGAGAGGGCACTCTGGGATGTGACCAATCACGAAACAATATTCAAGTAACGTGACTACTTAAGACCAATCAGATTGTCACTATCATCTCTACTGTCACATCACTATCGACATCTGTATTATCGCCACTTCCATAAATGTCATCATCATTTTTCTTCTCATCAACATCAAAAAAAAAGATTATGGCAATTAAAGTGTCATGATCTGTACTTGTTTAGGTGAAAATCCTTACCTGAACTGTGTAAAAGACAGTGTTTACGGATGCTCCCTCGGACACGCTTGTCTCGTTTGGTAAATTTGTAAATCTTGGACTGTTGTCATTTTCATCACCAATGGTTACCTCAACCTGGCAGTCTCCGAATCTAAAGAGAGAAGAATTATACATTCACAATTCAAACAAGATCAGAATAACTTGGAAATTCTTAGGTAACCATCACATGGACCGGCTGAGGATTCAATAAAATAAACCCAAGTGTTTTTGCAGCAAAGAAATTGTAATTATAGGTTGTAAATGGGAATTTGCATAAAAACAGGTATTTATTTCACCTCCAGTCATAAAAAAGAGAACACGTGTAGTCTGAACAACTCCAGGACGTCATTTCTCCCTGTTTTTTCGTATACACTACTTGAACGTCACGTCATTTTACAGTAACTATTTTCCTTTATTATAAATTGTTAATTTTTGCTGGCAATTTTATGAGGAATTAACTCAATGTCAGTGTCTGAGAAACTTCACACCTTCCCCTCCCCTAACCCAACATTAACCTTAACTTGTTGTCAGTCGACTGTTGTTGGATTAGGGGAGAGGTATGTGCGCAGTTTCTCTGATACTGACATTGATCTAGGGATGGAGGTAGTCTACTATTTGAAGGGCAATTTCTACCTTGCTTGTCCGCTAGTTGGCTGGTCTGTGGCGCGCGTGGTTAACCTGTAAAGCGCAAGGTGCTCGCGGTCAAAACTAGCCGTGGTATAAATAGTGCCGTTAATGGGATCGATAGCAAAAGACTTGTAATGATCAGTAGCATCTGGAACAAGACTAAATCGGATCGTTCCACTTGGTCCCAAATCAGGGTCGGATGCAGTAATCTATAATTTCAAAAAAATTATGAAAAATATATTCAGCGTCAATCAAATTATGCTCAACTGTTGATGTCACGTAAATTGCGTGACGAGACTCTGTCCTTTCAGAATATCTTCAGGAAGTGTAACACAATGCAGTGTAGCACAGGTATCTTTTCGCAGAGGGACATACGAATTGTTATTAAAAATCTTGGGAAAGCCCATTGTGAAATTGCCGCACTTTAAAGGAATACAAGATGAAAATGAATGAATAAAGAAACCGTTCAACAAATAAAAAAACGTGGCTGAGATATTTGCAGATCTCAACGCTTAACCCTTAGATCCAACACCTGAAAGCTTCCAAATTCAATAATCGGTCCTGAACTTTTAGTGCACTTTGGGAACAAAAAGAACGAAGGAAAAATGAAACAAATCTTAATTCAGCGAATAAAATTATACTCTGTATCTCACCTTCACCACAGAAGTGTTCGTTGGTCTGTTCTCTGGCACAGTAACTCTGTAAACAGCTTGGGAACATTTTGGATTATTGTCGTTCAAGTCTGTGACATTTACAGTAACAGATGCCACAGCTTGACGCTTTTCCGACGTCTTAGTCTCCTTTGCGAGCACCTAAGATTTCAAATTAAATCATGTCGCTTTGAGGTTGCGAAAACATTGCATCGTAGGTAACATGTCGAGGGATCGCGTACCGAATCGAAGATACGTTGAAGGTAGATAGCTTTTCTTATATAAGGAGCTTTTTCCTAGGAACCCAGAATGGTCGTGGAAAGCGGATATAAAATAATTCAGAGGTGCATGTTGCCAGTTAGCGCGAGGAAGTTCTTACGCCATTTTAGTTTACCGAGAGAGGTCTGGAAAGAGCATTAGTAACCGCCCGACCGTACCCCCACCATTCTTTCAGGAAAGAAAATGTAAACGCACTCACTTAGTCGTTTTTGTTGTTGATGCCGTTTTTGTTTTGTTCGTTTAGTTGTTGTTTTGTTTTAGGTTCATTTTCTTATCGATTTATTAATTTTTGTTTTCCTCACATATTTAATCGCTCACAAATATTACAAAAGGATTAAGTTCAAGTCGTAATACTGACCTGAAATGAATGTACATCCTCAGTTTCGCGATCGATTTCGTCGTTTACCAGGATATACCCGGCAGGCGTGACGGTAAACTTTCCTCCGGCGCGTTCCAGGCTGTACGAGAACACTGCGTTATTTCCCTAACATGAATAAAATGATGAAGCCAGAAAGCTAAGTCTTTTAAAAGCCAGGGAGCTCACACTGGAGGAGCTGGAAGCATATAATGGTTTATTCAGCACGAGGAGACCAGGAGTATTGCTATTTCTACTTATTGGGAGGGGAGACAACAGCCAAAAGTTCAAAAGCTTCATTTCAGTCAAAATTTTTCTGGTACTCATCAAAGTTACCGTCAGGTCTTTTAGTAACCAGCCATAGAAAACAGTCGTCATCTAGAGGAAATCATTTGAGTGCCCGAAGGGCACGAGCATTTATTTCTCTAGCATCGATTCCCCTTGCTTTTACATATTTTTTCTTTCCGTTTTTTCTTGTTCTATCCATTCCATACGAAAATAAAGCAAACGTTTCAGATCAAGACAACTCTTCACTAACAAGTATCTAGTGAAAACGCCGGCTGCTGGTGCTTCTGGAGAACAATGACTCACTCATGGTTTGCTTTTACAACCATTATGACAGTTGAGTGTCTTGCTCGCTAACATCACGCAGTGAAACAGCCAGTACTCTAACAAAGCCTTTAAACCCGAAATCAAAAGTGCTACAAGGCCACTTTGTCACCCACAATGAAATCATATTCCACTGACTGTACAGAAACGACAGGTTTTTTTTAATCCTCACAAAACGAAATCTAAATCGGATCAGTAAGAGAGGTTACTGAGAAAATATCAGTGCGACTTTACCTCGTCTTTATCCACAGCTGTAACTCTCATAACCGTCATCCCAAGTGATGCGTTTTCCAGAATCTCTCCTGAATAAGGTGCGTCGATAAATACAGGAGGGTTGTCATTTACATCCTTCACAGTTATCTTTACGTTCGCATAAACTGGGTTTTGATGAGTGGAAGTGGCCTGCAAGACGAAAATTGTAAAAAAATTTGAGTTAAATTGAGAATTTTCCAGTCTCTTCATCGCACTCGTTTTTGTGATGCAAAGACGCTTTCTCCGGCGTCTCGTTTCGGCACATTTTCGAAACAGCTGCGAAGGAGAAAATGAAAACAGAGACAATGCCATGTAGATTTGTGGTGACTTTGTGTTTCACATCTCAGCGGCCAAGCCAGTCCTCTTCAGGCACAAGAGACATTGTTGTTAAATTGGAAACATGCTGTATTTAGCAGACTGGGGATAGATAAACTGTCCACTAAATTGACATCAATATGGAATGATAAATTGATGATGTCAGCAGCCTAGTGGTTTACACCTATAAGGCTGCTCTACATTGGGACCCAGAGAGAAAGAGAGCGAAGGGCCGCTGAAGGATCGTGTAGCGGCGGACGGTTGAGAAGGAATGAGGCAGATGGGGAAGACTTTACGGGAAAGCAAGGGAAGTCTGATGCAGGCCCAGTCGAGGTGGATGAATCGCGTTGTTGCTTCGTGCACCAACTGAGGCCAGAGAATGAATGATGACGCAAGTGAATGGACCTAACTAGTCAGCCAGGACATTTCCAGAAAATTACTCACCCCAATTCTTAAGTTATAGGAGTCTCTAATCTCTCTGTCCAACGAGCCATTCACAGTTATCACTCCAGATGAGCCCAGAATGGTAAATACGCTGTTGGGGTTTGTATCTTAAAGAGGAAAAATAAGATAAACTCAATCAATACAGAAGAAGTCTTTCCGCACCAGGGAATGGGTGAAAATCATTATTATGCAGCGTTTAGGAACTTGATACTAAAGATGAACCCTGCTTAGGTTATATCATCCAAACGTCAGTCATCGATCAGTACCAACCAAAAGAGGATGACATTCAATCCTCTCTTGTAGCAAAACCATTCATTTTCAGGATCAATGTCACCCAGGCGATCGGACAACATTATCAAATATTTTTCTTGATATAGCCTACAAGACGCGTAAGTAGTCATCAAAGATCATCGTATGTATGATTCTCAGTCTGGTCCGTGTTTCCGTGTTCAAGATTTTAAGCACATGGGGAATCAGTCGTCGCCTATAGAGGATGAAGGGGGACTATGGAAAATTGACTGCCGACTAACTGCCAATGTAGGAGGACATACGAATGCCGCAAGGCCTTTTGGGGAGATCAGGTAAATTTTATCGTGACACAAGAAAAATCCTCCCGTCGATAAATAACAACCGCAACCGGTTCCTTACCTGTATCTATGAAGTATTCCACTGGTGCATCCAACATCTCATCTCCGTCACGTGCTGTAACAGCCGTGACGTAATAACCCTATACAGCGCAAAGACAATTTCAGTATAAGTATGTCAAGGTAATTCTCTGGTATTTATAATTAGTAAAGTGTGTACATCAAAAAATTGTGGAGGAAGAGATCACCGTGAAGTAGGTTTATCAAGATACATATTTCTGAAAAACAAATGACTTATCATCTGAGTGGATGAAGACTCTTCTTTATATCAAATGCTGAATTAGAATAGAGCAGAGAAGCAGCCCCTGCTTTCCCGCGAAGTCCGTCGTGCGAATAAAAAAAAGATCAGTGAAAAAAAAAGTTGACGTTAGCGCGCCGAGCAGAACTCTGGGAGAGAGGTGCACGAAAAATATCTGCGAGGCAGGTTAGCATCAATTTTTTTTGACTGATTTTTGTTGTTGTTGTTGTTGTTGTTGTTATTATTATTGAAATTAGAAAAAAAGAGCGTTCTTTCAGTTTATCCCGAGTTGAGTTTGTGCATAACAAATACAACTTGGAATTAGTATCAAAACACCTATCTAAAAATTCCGTCCTGACCTTAGCTGCATTTTCTGGCACTTCTGCTTCGTATGAAGAAGGAGAAAATTCGGCCGGGAGATCATCAGCGTCATCAATGAGAATATTCAGTGTTGTGCTTGAGTTAAGTCCATTGCCTGGCCCGTTGTCCTAAAGCAGACAACACAACAGCCAATTAGACTAAAGGAACATGTTTCATGGAGCCCTTGAAAACTCAAAGTAAACACGCAATAACCGACTACAAACGCGATAAAATACGAATTACAAGGTTTTTGTTGGTTTTAGTTGGCATGCAAAACCAGAACAATTCATGGTGCGATCCCCATCAAACTGCAATCCTAAATTACAGCAACTCCTGATTGCTTTTGCTACAAATGGCTATGGCAGCTTAGAGCAACTTAAAAAAATCAATTGTGTCTGCTTACTACAAGATTCAATTTAGGAATGAATGGCATACATTTTGTAAGGGGATATGTGCTTTTTTTTTTTTTTTTTGTTATTTAAGTGGCCTAAGATAATGGAGTTGAGCTTACATCGTATACGCTTGTAAATAAGTGAGACTCGACTAACCTTTGCAAGAATTTTCAGTGTGTAGTTATTGATCGACTCATAATCCAACTTTTTGGTGACAACTACACTGCCACCATATAACTCGATGTAAAATTTGTCTCCCTGAATAGGAAAAAAATACCCAAGTCATTGACTGGACTACAAACTGATAGTGGTTTGCAATATGGATTTGGTCCTCTTCTTTGTCGCATAAAACAAGTGGCCGTGCGCAAAAACGGCAAAAATCGCCATTACATATACTTTTAAATTAAAATTACGCCTGCCGTGCTAGAAAAATTGTCAATCGAAACAAAATGAATAAAGCTTTTAAAGAACTGTATAAACACTTTACTACTTCTATCATTAAAGATTGATTTTTTGGCAGTAAAGTTTCCGCTTGTACCTTCCCACCAGCGGTAAAATCTAGGTAAACTGTATTTAAGCGATTTTCACCGTAGTTTTATCCTATGGAAGACATTTTAAAAGGCTGTGAAATATTTTTTGACTCTTTTACCTAGTTTTTACATGATTTATCATAGGTTCATGAAGCCTACGTGTTGAAATATTGCACTAAAGCATGCGCTTTAGAGCCTTTTAGGGCTATTTTTAGGGCGATTTGTGACTAAACCTGTGACCCAGATTTTAAACTAAAGCCTCTTACGAAGCAAGTTTGAATTGCTATGAAAGCAGTATCTTTCGATTAATTAATAATATACATGAAAAAATTACGCGCTTCTTATTGGCTTAAAACGAATGCATTCTCAGGTAACAAGAGTGCAAAGTTGTAAGACGGGTGCAAGTTACAAATACAAATGCATGCTTTCAAAATTTCGTCTGTCTTGGCTTTCTACAATGTTTTTTCATGTACATTATTAACAAGTAATAACATGATTTCTCCTGTAATTTGGTGTAATGTAAACATTGGTAAATTTTTCAAAGACTACAAATTGCACTTGCCCTACGGACTCGTGCAATTTTGTTGTCTTTGGAAAATTTACTCGTGGTCATTTACATCAAATTGCATTCGAAATCATGTTATTAGTCATACTAATTGTAATGCTAATCATTACTACGATTAACCAGTGTACCTACCACATTTCCATCTACGATTGTGAACGTGAGAAGATCCTTCGCTGGTGGGTCCGGCATATCCGCATCAGTTGCTGTCACAGTAAAAATTGTGCTGCCTGAACTGACGTCCTGCAGTTAAAAGAGAGTTTTCTTGAAACGTTAAAATGAACTCAAACGTCCCTTATAATTAACTTCACGAGACACAATCTGTATAGTTGTTGTCTAAGAGTGCCGGACGGAGAAATATTTGGCTCATTAGAATTTCTTCTTTTCAAGCTAAGCCCTTTAGGCAAGTCACAGAAATCAGCGAAAAAACAATTTCAATTCGGCGCAGTGGAAACAAAGATCTTGCTTCACTAACTTATTTTTCCTGAATTTGCACAAATAACTAAGCCGTGAAAGAGGGGTGCATATAATTTTAAAGAGAACGTTATCTGATGCAAATCAAGCTTGCCCCTTCCCGTACGTCTTCGCGCATTCTCAGACCAATTTTTTTCGCGTTTCTTTCCTAAAGGATCTTAAAAATTACATTCGTACAAGCCTGAAATGGCTAGAAATATGAAAACGTTTTCTTTATGATTTTTTTATGTTATAGTGTCAAATCTCACCTCGCTGATTCTTTTTTGGTAAGGAGCATTCTGAAAAACAGGTGTGTTATCGTTGATGTCCTCTATAGTAATCGACACCGTCGCGGAAACCTGAGAAGATCACACATTCGAAAAAAAGTCGACTGAGAGGAATCGAAAATATACATTGATTTTCATAAAAGTACAGCAAATATGATGCTTCCTCAATTATTTTTGACCCAAATTTGTTTGTTTTCCCCGGCTTTGTGTATGTTTTACATTTTTCTGCTTTACTTTTCTTCATTTTTGTTGCTCCTTTTACCTTATTTTCGATCACTATGAATTGATTGTTCTTCCACTCCCATTTTTAATCATGTACTTGTTAGCTTGTTTTCTAGTATGGGCTATGTCCGCTAATTTGTTTCTTTGTTTTGTTTGCTCTGATTCAAAGCTGACCTACCTTCGCCTGAGGTCCATTGGCATCATCGTAAGCGTACACTGTGAATTGAATACTTTGAACAAGAGAAGTCTGTTTTAAAAGAAAAATAGACAGAAAAACACACCAAGTAGGTCATCGTTGCATTTCTTGATTTATTACTGATTACATTTCCTCTACTTAGGTATTTCCGAGATTGAAAGCAAGCATTTGTTTTATCAGTAAATCTCAAAACGCATAGACCTTTTTAGAAAGAAACTGAGAATTTTTCGATGCAGACCCACCTCTCTGTCGATGCTTATATTAGATGTTATCCACCCACTAGATTGGTCGATGCTGAATTTTCCGTTGGCGTCTGAGCCAATTTCATAACTGATCGTATTTCCTTCTGTATCTGTGGCAGATACTTGAGTCACTCTGGTGCCTGAGAAATAATAACTTAGGTTCTAAACTTTTCTATATCAAATCATACTCTTGCAGGAAAGACAAAACTTCGGAACAGTTTTACTAAAAGTAAAAACAAAATCAAAGGAGCACACTACAAAACTTCAAGACCGAGCAAAAATAATCACGAATGACGAAAGACGTGAATTTTGGGTATTCAGTATTTTGGAAGAGGGGTTCGTTTCCATTATTGTGGTTGGTTATAGAGCTTAAGAATTTAATTATAGGGTACATTTACTGGTAAAATCTAACCATTTCACAGGATTCTGGTTAGTGTAGCAATGCTGCATTCAACACGAACTTTTCATTAAATCATGCACGCAAAAATGCATGCAATGCACCGATACATACGTAGAGAAATTTATTGCTAATTGAAATAGCGAAAAAAACATAAAGTTTGTGCATGTAAGGCAGTGATAAAAAATAATGACTATATAAATTAGCAGTTTTGTCATGCAGAAATGTGAAAGTCCTCTTAATGAAGACTTGGTGCTTGCAAGAAACAACACCTCATTTTATGGATACCCTTCTTGCCTATAACTTACCAATGGGTTCTTCCTCTTTAAATGTTACAATAAACTGATTTTCACTGAACTTTGGCCTTTGATTGACCTGAGCTGAAAGAAAGGAAGCAACGAAAAATAACGTATAATTTTCAGAAACGTTTTTCATGACTGCAAAGTAAACTAAACTAACATTGAAAGGCGTCCATTCTACTTCCTGAACTGCCTCGACTCTCCCAAAAGTAATCGATCAGTAATTATTTCTCCTTCCATTTTCAACACTGTGTCCAGCAGAAAGGCGATGAGAAGAAAGAAAAATATCAACCAGAGAATGTTTGTTTGATTTGCCTCTAAATTCTCAGAACTAAAATTATCCGAAATGTATAAAAGACGGTAAGGAGAGTTGAAATAAAGATCATAGTTGTGAGGGAATCAAAAATGACAGTTATAATAATCAGGCACGGTCATCACTAGCTATTAAACCATTTATTTATAATTTTGGCTCAAACGCCACCTTCTTTACAGATTTTTCACCAAAAATTAAGGCCTGTTTTAACGATTAAAATCACTTTAATCTCGATACACAATTGCAATAAACATAGTTCGAAAAACATTTTGAGGTAAACAAAAGAAGATGAGACTTTTCAAAGATCATGAGTTGTTCAGTCTCAAGTTCGCCTTTTCTCTCTACTCAAAGCTTACTTTGGTAGAAGAAGATTTTTTCGGCTCTGAAACGTGAGGCCTGTTTCATTTTTCAGTATTCACAATTGAATTAAATAAATCAATCAACAGGGTTAGCATCCACACCTCCTGGATACCATTTAAACGCTACTACCCACCGAGTAACAAAGCCCTGAGATTTGGGAGCGAGGCAAATTTTTTTGGGTTCTTTGTGTAAAATTAATTCTATTTGGACCTGCGCATGATAAACAGGTAAAGAATGATCCTCGCAGGTGAACTGCGAAAAAAAATAGTAAAAAAACAAAATACGGGAAAGAAAGCTGCAATAATTCCGACTTCCATGGGTTTCGAACCCGTGCCTCAGAAGCCATTTGTTTTTGGTGAAGAAAATTTTCGAGGGTTAATTTCTTTACCTGTTTTAATTATTTCAATGTTATTGCTTTGATTTTCTTCTCCAAGTGATCTTAAATCTTTTCAAATAACATCACTGATCGCGCTGGAGAAGTTATGGGTGAAAATTATTTTTCGCCAAACTTTTTATCATGAATTTTTGAATGAATATTGTGAACAGAAAATATGTGGAAGAATTAAAATAGACAGCACCTTAAAGTAAAAGGAACTTGATCAGGACTAAACTAACGTTTAGGCAAACTTAGTTTTAACTCTGATCAACAATGAAGTGTTTTCTAATCATACATCTAACAGACGAGGAGCCCGAGCGGGAATAATGTTTTAGTTCTTTTACGTGGAAATATACTCCTCTTTGCTGAAGAATACCTTCAACTGAAATCAAATACCCTCATCTTCGTTAATAAACTTTATCAGCACCAAAACAAGCACTTTACGTACCTTGAAGACGCTGAGCCTTATAAAAAATTGAAATCAACAGCAGACGTAAGAATTGTGCTGTGAGATACATTTCTGCAACTCGTGAAGGTCTCGATAGAGGTTTACATGAAATCAAATCGAATTAATCCCTTCGGCCTAGAAGTATTTTTCAGTTTTCCTAACACTGTTAAATTACGTTTACAAAATTCTTGAAAAATTATGTCATTGAAGTTATCCTTGGAAACAGCTTGAGGGAGGCATCACCACGTAATCGGTAACAAACCGCATTCGACTGATAGGTTACTGCGACAATAGTGTATCACTTAGCGTCTGATAATTATTGGTCTAAACTTGAAATAAATACCTCTGTTTAGAAATGATATAATGCCACCAATTTGAACAAAAGAGTTTTAAAACTTCCTTGATAGAGCTAGTGTTTGAATTTGGAGTTGACTCATTTACAATAAAGGGAACACGAAACAGAGAATTTGAAAAAAAAAGTTCACCTCGCGATGAAGACATTTGTTTGTTTTTTCTTTTCTTTTTTATCGCACTTCCTTTTTTTCGTTTTTAAGAAACCATGAATAATTGAAGATGTTTAATTATTTATCGTAATGAATCATCAAGCTCGTAATCATATCCCGCAGCGCAGGGTTTTAAATCGTGATTAACAAACAATTATTTATGTTGAAAAAGAGAATAATTGATGTCCTTTATATAAAGGGTATAACAATCTCTATACCTTCCTTACATCAACAGATTTCACAACTGAGAATCTTGCTTCGAAAATTAATCTGTCTCTACATAGATCTATATAATAACACGATCCGATTTGATTTGATTATCGGTTTTGGTTTCAATCGGTTTGAGGAATATGGCAAAATTAATTCCAAACTTTCAGGTCGTTTCATTCATTGCGCTGAAAACGGATTTTGCTGCGGTACTAGAATTCACCTTTCTGCTGTGTTTCACATGAAGCAAACGAAATAGGATATAGCGGAAGCCACTTGTATAGGTTGGTTTGGAAACAAAATGATTAATGATTAATTTTTCCGCCGTTTTGTACTGAGCGGAAGCATGCCTACGAACAGGTAAGATTCCCGTATAACCCTTCAGCCTAAAATCTCACACCTCCCTTACCAACGCCTCTTAGGGTCAGTTGACACATGAATATGCGGATTTAATGATTGATTACTAAATAGCAGAAAAAATATTTTGGTAGGATTTTCCAGGTAGACCTATGAAGTTGGCAAGATGTGTGGATCTATTAATTTCCCTGGTTATAGTACCGGCTCTAAGGGTGAATCATATCCATCAAGATCTTCAAAAGTCTCTGGCGCCAAGCATTCGAGTACCCATAGTCCTCTATTGCGCTCACGTGATCAGTGAACGATTGTTTTTTAAAACGAGTGGCTCTAGGTACTAGTGTACAAAATAGTGGCTAAGATGGCGAGCTCGGCGAGTGTTCCAAGTGATATATATCCACATATTTACTCGTTTTTATTGCAAAACAATCTGCTCAAAACCGCCAAAGCTTTTAAAGCGGAGACATTAGTGGTAAGTCTGTCTTCCTTGAGATAACTGATTTATAAATCGCTCTGCTGAGTGGATTGTTTCTCTTAATGTTCCGCAAATTTTAAAGAGTTGTACACGTGCATGTATCGAAAGGAAGTTCTGTGTTGTTACCGACATGTTGCTTTACTTCTGACGATATGTTGAACAAATCGAAAAACGGCGATGATAATGACATGCTAGCAGAAATTACAGGAATCAAACTGCACTGTGACCGTTAGATTTTCAACTTTCCTTGATAAATTTACTGATTATGTTGTGAACACAGTACACGTGCATGGCACGATGAAATTGCGAAACTGCTGTCAGTGTTAGGTTCGACAAACGTTGTCTTTTAGCCTCTCCGATCTGATTCTTTGACGAGAAAGACCACGCGCCCAAGCGCACCTACAAAACAAAGACTATACCTTGGCAAAGATTTTTTGTATGATACAATTGCACTTTAAGATGTACGGGCTTATTTTCCCTCTTTCGATTTACGGATTGTCGATTACATGTAATCAGAAACATTAAATGCAAAGAGCCCTCTAACTTTTAGATTTTATATCAGTGGCTCTCAGTTCAAAACTGTCCATGTGCAGTTGTCAGTAGAATGTCACTGGATTAGGCCAGTGCCTTTCATACTGGGCCTTTCATACAGTGCCTTTCGTTACAGGGCCCAGCCATAAAAAAGGCAGATTAAGCCAGTCATCGGATAAATATCTATCCTGCAGATAAGTAATAGCAACACATACTCTGCTATCCACCACAGAAAGAGTTATCCCGTGGATAGCGTTATCCAACCTTCAAACAACTGGGGCTAGGCTTTTATCTCCTTATCCAGTCCTTGTGATCAGTTTCATGCAAAGCAATATTTTCCAGTTCCCTCAGCTCATTACCACTTCAGCAAAATTCCTAAATTAAATCTTTTATTTTTTCCTCTTGTCCTGTTACTGTGGCCCATACTACTGGAGTTCACAGCTAAGATTGCCTGTGCATGACTGAGCATGCAGCTTGGTAACACTGTTTCTTTAAAGCTCTAGACTTACCTTGTTTCTTCTTTACAACAGGATTTATCTCGACCTCTTCAAGAAAGTGATATCCTTGAATGGTTTAAGGCATTCTTAAGGTGAGAATTAACTGTATTTCTTCAACCTAGCAAAGACAATATGGTTGGCTAGAGTATTTTAGGGAAGCTAATAATTTGGGAATGTTGTCATTAATTAACCTTTTCACTACTATGACCTCATTATTAAATCTCTTTACAGTCTGCCATACAATTCCCCTAATGCTAGTGGGGAAAATTTGGTTTTGGATCAACTAATAATTTCCTAACAGATAATTTTCTCTATTCCTTATTCTTGTCGGCTTGATGTTGTATTGATATTGTAAGGAGAAATTGTGTCTTGGTCACTTGTGGAAGTTAATTAGAGGGTTAAGTATCCCATCCTAAAGTAGCAGAAGTTCATTGCTTATAAAAGTAGAAATAGAAACTTTCGCTATTTTTGCATTATAATATATATAATTTTATATTTTTTGTGGTTGTTTGTTTCTTTAGGTCTAATCAAGCTCCTGTGAAAAGAAAATTGAATGGAACCAGTAAAGAACCAAAATCGAAACGTCAAAAGACCCAAAAATCAAGTTCAGGTGAGATACTTGTTATTTTTTTTTATTTTGGTTAATAGAAGTGCAGTTACATGACATGATGGGTTACGTGCTGTTGTCTGTGGTTTTAGAAAGCAATGTGCAGCATAGAAAATATCTGGTGCTGGCAAATTGAAATAGTGGCTGTTAGTTCTTATTTAGACTGGTTAAGTCCCAAAATTGATGAATGTCAAATTTATTTAATAGTTAATGTCAGTAATTTTTCATTTCCAAAAAAATTTATTCAAATGAATTTTGGCTTCTTTGTGATACTGTTGTAATCTTTTCTGTTTTTGGAACAGAGTCATCTAGTTCTCAAGATTCAAGCTCTGATGAAGATGAACCAGCAAAACCAGCAGCAAAAGTAATTGAAAAACTTGAAAACAAACAGGCCAAGTCAAAAGATGAAAGCTCCACTGAATCAAGCTCTGACGAAGATAGAGAAAAAAAGACAGCACCTGTTAAAGGTACAATCAAGAAAACAAAGCCCAAAGATGAAAGCTCTTCTGAATCAAGTTCAGAGGAGGAGGAAGCAGCTAAAAAGGCAACTTCAACAAAAGTAAGCGAAAAAACAGTGAGCCAGAAGAAAAAACAAGAAGATGATACCTCATCTGAGTCAAGTTCAGAGGAAGATGAAGCAGAACAAAATGTGACCCCTGCAAAATTTGATAAAAAAACAGCAAAGAAAAAGCCAATACCCAAAGATGAAAGCTCTTCTGATTCAAGTTCAGAGGAAGAAGAAACTGAGAAAAAGGCAACTCCAACAAAATCAAACAGTAAAACAGCAAGTCAGAAGAAACACCAAGAAGATGAAAGTTCATCTGAGTCAAGTACAGAGGAAGAAGAAACAGAGAAAAAGGCTACTCCAACAAAAGCAAACAGTAAAACAGCAAACCATAAGACAAAACCAAAAGATGATAGCTCAGCTGAGTCAAGTTCAGAGGAAGAAGATGCAGAAAAAAAGAAAACTCCTTCAAAAGTGAGTGGAAAACCAGTAAACCACAAGGCAAAGCCAAAAGATGATAGCTCAGCTGAGTCAAGTTCAGAGGAAGAGGAAACTAAAAAAAGAATAATTCCTACTAAAGCGAGTGGAAATAAAGCAAACAAAAAGACAAAGGAAGAAGATCAAAGCTCATCTGAGACAAGTTCAGAAGGAGAAGAAACAGAAAAGAAAGAAACTCCAACAAAACAGAGTGGAAAAAAAGCAAAGCAGAAAAAAAGTAAACCAAAAGATGATGTTAGCTCATCTGAGTCAAGTTCAGAGGAAGAGGAAACAGAGAAAATAAATAAAGTAGATAACAAAAATAACAACAAGAAAAAGGGAGACAGTTCTTCACAATCTAGTTCAGACGATAATGAACCAGCTAGCAAAAATACAAAATCAAAAAAGGGAAAGCTGGAGAAAAGCAAAGAAAAAGAATCATCAGATGACAGTTCTAGCTCAGACGAAAGTATGGAGATATCAGTTGACACATCAAAAGTAGCAAAGTCTACAAGTTCTTCCACTGAATCAGTGAAAAAGGGAGATAAGGATGATGAAAGTATGGACACAGACAATGAAAGTTCAAGCTCAGATGAAGAAGAAAAGGCTAAGAAAGTTAAGAACATAAAAGGTGCAAAAAGACAACAACATGGAAGGGCTGCATCTTCAGATGAAAGTTCCAGCTCAGATGATGAAGAGGACACTTCAAAAGTTAAGAACATGAAAGGCACTCCAAAACAACAAAATGGAAAGGCTGCATCTTCAGATGAAAGTTCCAGCTCTGATGATAAAGAGGACACTTCAAAAGCTAAGAACATGAAAGGGACTCCAAAACAACAAAATGGAAAGGCTTCATCTTCAGATGAAAGTTCCAGCTCAGATGACGAAGAGGAGACTTCAAAAGTTAAGAACAT